GCACTCGATAAAACAAATTATACCACAATGATGAGCCCAACGGGTAGAACAACTTTCGTCAGGGACTTAAGTCGAGAAAATTAATACTTCACTTGATCCTAGAAATGGGTTTCTCTAATTTCTCTAGTTATTAGCTTAAAAATGAAGAAAAAATTCGAAGAAGAAGATATATGCAACTTTCCACCGACCTAGGGCCCCACCTCACGTGCTTGCTTGCGCAGTCCTACAAAAATGCAAATATCTCTCTATTCTAAAGTCGTATGAACAAACAGTTTGATGCGTTGGAAACTAGACTCGTAGACCTTCGATTCAATAGTCTGTGGGCCCCATAACTCTTTATAGATTGGGAGAAAACCTCCAAGACATTTGACCCAAATTTCAGAGAAATCTTTAAGAAGGAACTTACGATAACTTCTGCCAACTTTTATTTTGCCACTTACCTAACTTCAAAACTTGAGATGCAACCCTTGAACACTTAAAATAGGACATACCACATCATTCTTAATTTATTACCCACCCTCCTTGTCTTTCCATGGAGATACGAGTAAGTTTAGACTTTTCGAAAAGTCGGGGTGTTACATTTATTATACAACCAATTATTGAACTCACCACCCCCTTGAGTTTTCTTAACAGCACACCCATAATTCCTCACTCAAACTCATACATAAGGAGGAACAAAATGGAGCAGTCACCTTACCTCAATTTCTGCAACTTCTCCTTATAACTTGAATTCCTCTAGAACTTCAACTTCCCTTCACACTTAAACCAACGAAGAAGAGAAAAATATCTTAATAATTAAGGAAAGTGAGTAGTAGCTTGTGGGAACTTCTGACTTGTACTTATAATTAAGCATGAATAACATGTTTTCTAGTCTTTCGTGGGAGAATTAAGCTAAGTCTATAAGTGTTTCTCTTACCTTGGTTTGCAGATATGAAGATTTCTTCAAGAACCCTAGAAGGAACTTTAAGGCTACTGTTTTAATTCTTAAGAGAAAAGAGAGAGAGAGAGAGCTGGAGTGAATTGTGGATTTTGTATGTTAAAATGAGTGAAAAGATCAGCTCATATTGGGTTTATATGAAGCCTTCTTGACCATAAAAAAATAATCCTCTAGAACATCCCTTTTTGGTCCATTTTCAGCCACTAATTGGTCAAGTAGGTGATGCACCTGCTTATGTACATCAAGCAGCTCAAAAGGTCAAACTAGGTGATGCACCTACTAGCTTTCACTTAGGCTAAAATATTGGGACTTGACAGATTTGGCTGCCGGGCTTAAATTTCATTTTCCTTTTATTTAACTTTGTTTGGGCCTCAAGTGAGTACATTAGCATAGGCCCAATCTGATCCATAAACCTTGGCCTTTTTAACTAGATCCATATAGCTCAAGTAGGTGATGCACCTACTTGGTCCTTTGGACTAGTCAATAAGTCAAAGTAGGTGATGCACCTACTTGTCACCTACAAGCTTAGTTAAGTCAAGCAAGCAACTCAGTTATTTTATTCCATTTTCTAAATGTTAATCCCTTTTGCTTTAACTTACCACTTAACTTTACACTTTAAGCTCAACTACCACTTTACCGTCTCGAGTTTAAATACTCCCGTTGGAGTTAACTTGCAGTACACATGCTGAAACGTGCAAGGCATCACATCACCTTCCGAGCTAGTTTAAACCAATGCTAGTCATATGAGAAACATGGTCCCTCACCTATACTATACGGCTATGTCAAGTATCACAAGAATAGAGTAAGCATATGCATAATACGGGCTGTTACAAATATGAAATTAGAATAATCTAGAGGACTAGCTAGCTAAAGTTAGTTAGGGTAGTTAGAAGATTCTTTCTTGTTCTTGTATATATGTAAACAAACACTCAGTTGGAATTAATTAACAAAGATATTGAAATTACATTTTCTCTCAACTCTCTACTCTCAGTTCATAGAACATTCCAGAGTCAAGGAATTGTTCATCACCATATCCTAATTCTGGATATTGAACAATATATGTAATATTTTTTAAAAAAAAATTATTCTTAGTGACAAAGCTTATAAATTATAACCACAAATATTATATTAAATAATGTCACATAAAATTTTTTTAAAAAGTGAAGAGTTTTTCTTTTTTAATTTCTTATCCGCAGTTTCGAACGTATATTAAAGTTTGGTTAAATATAAATTCATGTCGAGAAGTCCCACATTGGGGGTAAAACGCTCCCTAAGTACAAAGACGGCTCCATAACTAAGGAAACTCGAATCAAAAGTACCTTTGATTAAAAATGAAAAAATATTTATCACTCCACCTCAACAATCATTATTGGTATGAAGAGTTAACATTAAGCAACACTCACATATAATAAGTTTTTCTATATAACGTTGTAATATGTGTGGATAGGGATGGCAATGGGTCGGGGCGGATGCGGGGTGGGGTGGGTTTAAGGCTACGTGAGGCGGGGCAGGTTTAAGGTTGTGTGGGGCGGGTCGGATGCGGGGAGGGTTGAAGTGGGCTTTTAAAAAAAAAATAATGTGGGGCGGAGCGGGTTGCGCGTATATGTGATTTTATGTGGGTTCAAACTGAATTTAAATTTTTTACATGTTTTAAGAGTGATAGAGCATTATTTATTAAGATAAATTCATTAAAGCTACTAAAATATTCAAGATAATAAATGAAAGTGGTTCAATAAAAAGTAATACAATTTCTTACATGTTTTCCTATTGACCTCTAAAAAATAAAATTTAAAGTCACTATCTTATTAAATTAATACAACTTAATGAAAAAATGAATTTATTTTTATGAATTTGATTTTTAGTATCAAACATAACTAGAAAAAAAATATTAAAAAAATTATGCGGGGCGAGTTCATGCAGGGTGGGTCTATGCGGGACCGGTAGAAAATGAAAAGAGTTGTTATGCGGGGCGGGGCGGAGCGGAACAGGGCGAATTAAATTTTTTGCGGGTTAAGCTCAACCCGCACCATCCCGCCATACACCGCCCCATTGCCATCCCTACGTGCGGACTAGCTTATTGGGTGGCACTCACATTTGTTTTTTCCAGCCAAGTGACACTCACTTTTTTATATTATTTGAAAGACAAATAATATAAATTTGTCAAACTAAATTATTCATTTATTATATATTTGATTTATATTAAAAATTTATAAATCAATCATTTCAACATATGATTTTTTAGTTTATGGACACTTGATACTTTTCTAAAAATTGTTCAATCAAAAGGAGTCGATTTCCAATCTCTTACGTATAATTTTTTTTAACAGATACGTGATAGAGAAAAATAAATAAATATATATATGTTGGGAGTTGAAAAACAAATATTGACATATGCCTAAATTTTCAAATTTCAACATACTATAAGTGGTATTGCTTTGACCAGTACCACTTTTGTTAATTCCATATTTTTTTAAATTTGTGTTCCCATTTGGGCTTTTGACTAAATGCCTACTGACTCTCAAACTCAACTATCAATCACCGCCCACCACATTCTTCATACTCTTTTTCTTTTTTTTTTTGTCTTTTTCACTTGACTAGGCATATTGGACAATAACTTATAATGGAAAAAGAACAACTAGACCATAACTTCATACGGAAACTTTTAATTGTTCCCAATTACATATTAAAAGATGTTTTCTAGTGGTGAAACATTGCACACACAAATTCCTACTATAAGTACCAATTCACTTTATAGTTTGAAATAATTATATATTATTTTATTAACTAATAATTTTGTATCAAATTTTAAGTCAGATATATGCATTATTGATATGAAATATATTCTGAAATACAAAATTATAAGGAGAGACGTGAGCGAGAGAGGAGAGAGAGTCAAGTGAGAGAAATAGTATATCCCATGATATATGCAAATCACACTTGGATATAGTGTATATAAAACAAATAACACCTAATTTGACTTGTATGTATCTGAGATACATGTATTTCATTGTGCCACATACATGTCTATGGCAAAATAATTATAATACGAAAAGTTATTTCAAAAACTAAAATAAAGGCACGTAATTATACCCTAAACTATATATTTATCCACATGTATGCATTTATAAATTTTACCCTTTAAAAATTGTGTTACAATAGTAAAGCACAATGCAACAATATTTTAAAATGTAGAGCGTGAGGCGAGATGTTTTAGGTATTGTAATATGAGAGGTGTAAGCCCTAAAACACAGGACGTCATTCTCATCGATCTGTTGAGCGTAAGTCTCATGCATAGTCACAGAAATATCTATTACTTATGCTAGATCACAATTTTTTTTTAAAAATCTCTCTCTTTCTTAAATTTCATATTCAGTTAAATTACATCATGTAAATCAAAACGAAGAAAATATAATTTATTTAAGTATCCATTCATCAAATATAATAGAGAGAAGTATTGAAAATACCACCTATACTCGACACGAACTATTAATTTCATCTCCAAACTATTGACACTATTAAAAACACCCTTTTACTTAGCCAGGTGAACTTAAATATAAACCAAATTTGCAATATAAGTGAAATACACACTAAATTCTTGCTAAGTTTAGAGATGTTTTCAACCGTTCTCTTGATTCTTTTATTAAGAGTCTCATGCCCCTACAAGAGCTTGAGACCACTCACTATGTCATGTGACGAATGAGGGGAATATCTAAATTTAAATTTTTAGTAAGTCAAATAAAAAAATATTTTTAAGATGATCAATAATTTAAAGACAAAACTAATAATTTATACTAATTTTAAGAGTGTTTACGATATTTCTCTCTCCAAATAATACTTACAATACTGATACATGAAATGATAAGTAACAACCTTCCAAACAAAGTTGGATCCCAATATTTTTAACTCACTGGTTTTGCAAATTTAGTGACAAAAAAGGAGGCAATTTAACCAACATAACAAACAAAACATTTCCCTTACACGTGTCACTTAACGCCATTTAAACAAAACCATCCTTCCCGTGAAATTCTTATGTTTATTTTGTAACCCCCAAACGGAAAAACACAATAAGCATTTGCAAATCGCCGTCTAAAACGACCTGACTTCTCTCTCTATATGTATATATAACCCACCCATCCCCCCTCTCTTCACTAATCGCTTGATTTCTCTGCTACACCGTCGCCGGACGGCGAATTTCACGGTTTATTTTGTTTTTACAGAGATTTGATATGTTTATATATTTTGGAATTTGTTGTATGTACTTATTTGAGCTGTAGAATTTGTTTGATGAATGGATATGTGTGATTGACTAGGTTTAGAGATAAGTAATGGAAATTCTAAGATTTTTGGGGAGATTATTGCTGATTATTTTTTATTTTTATCATTTTATTAGTTTTTTGGATCTCTATGACCTCCGTTGTGTTTGATACACTTTTAGGTTTTTTATTTTTTTTGCAACAGGGACTCACTCCGTAATAGTGATTTCTTGCAAATTAGTTAGATGTGATTGAGTTTTTTTTTATAATAGAATTGGTGAAATGGATCTTAGCTTTAGTTCGGGGATCTGATTTAATGGATATTTTGCTTTATTGTGTAATAATTATCACGAATGATAACATGTTTATAAGATTTGTTGAATTTGGTTTTACTGAACAGTAATGTTTGTGTTGACTCTTCAGCATGAAGTTCTTTCAGTTTGTGCTTTTTTGTAGTTATTAACACGGAGAATAACTATTTTATCATATTCAGTGAGTTGGATTTCATCGAACAATAGTGTTTGTGTTGACTGTATTGTATGTAATTCTTCACTAGGAAGGTTCTTTTCTTTTATGGGATTATTCTCTTCTAATGCCTTGTTGTTGAAGTATGTTAGACCTATAGAATTTTACAAAATTGGAAATCACAGTTCCGTTTTGAGCTGAAAGTGATCTTTTAAAAATGGGAAATTTATTTTCTAGTGGAATGTTATATTGGTATTTTCAATGAATATTTTTTTCTCTTCTAAGAGGCATCTTTTCCCAGATTTTCAGCATTAACTGTTGCTACTTTCTGCATAAATCTTATTTTATTGAGTGTGAGAGTGTTGTATTGGGTGACTTGGTGGCGCAAGCATGATGTATGCCGATCTCTGTACAAAACTTGAATGGGTTTAACAATGCAAGCAACCTGAAAAATATCCATGTTGAGTTTGGAGATTGGCTCTTGAATGCCTCAAAGTGTCCAATTAATATGGCATGTATGAAAGCATTGTGACTCAAACCCTTCACATGCTATATGTGTTCAATATGAAGGATAATTCGTGCTGCGTTCTTGTGTAACAAAAAGATTTTGCTGCGATAGTTAAAATGCATATGTGCTTTGCTTTCGATAATTTTGATTTTTTGACTTCATTCTTTTTTGTTGTTTCAGAAAATTTAACTCTCAAATTTGAATCGTGAAGTAATATGCTGGCATTTTCATTGGTCTGACTGATAGCTGCCCAAGTAATGTATGCTTTGTGTGTAAGCAAGCATGGGTTCCGCTTGCTGTGTTGCTGCTAGAGATAGAGTTGTTCTAGATGAATCAAGCTGTGAAAATTTGCAGAGAAATGTTCGTCAATCTCCTACATGGAGCTTTCGGTGGGATAATCGGGGACGAGTGGCTGGGGAGGAGATGCCAGTGAATTGGTCTTCCGATGGAATTGGTGGCAATGACGGATTAGAATTTAAATCTGGAACAACTGTAGGAACAGTATATGCATCTGAAGAGGGTAGTCCATTGGATAGTTTCAGATCACTTGCATGGCAGAAGTCACCAGTTTCTGAAAGAAATAATCAAAACTTTTCACTTCCTTTATTGGGTTAGTACTTGCATTGCTCTCCCTTTTGCTTTTGTATGAAACAAACTAATAAATACGTAACAACTAGGTGATTGTGCAAATTGAAGAAAAATAAGATGTCAAGTTCTGATTGCAAATGATGAATTTAAATCGCCTTTTCTTTTTCCCTTTTTCAACTTTGTGAAATATGAGAATACCTAATTGGATGACATAATGGTGGATGCTTTGTCATCCTGTGTGGGAAATGTGGAGGCAAAACTTTATCAAAGATCACGAGTCCTCGTCAGGAAGAACTAATCAGCTAATACTAGCAGACCAAATTCTCACACGAGAGATGTTCATTAGGTTTAAATGTAGAGAAGGATTATGTATAAAGTTGATTTTAGGTTAAAAACAGGAGGTAGAGAGCACTGAAATGAAATATGTTGCATGTGTGTGCTTCTTGGATTTTACAATTGTTTAGCCATACAATGAGCTTTCTTTTTATTGTGAATTTTGTTTGGATATCAAGTGCTCTACAAGTGAGCTTTGTTGCTTCTGAGATGTCTAGATTTGTCATAGAGAAGATTGAACTGCTGGCAGTGGTGAATGATGGCTACTCTGTCTTGATAAGAGGATATTATCAAATGATGAAGTTAAGTAGTGGAGGGGGTTGAAAATATAGACTATTTGCATGTTCTCCAATTGGGGAGGTGCTAGTAGCTTAAGCTGAAAATGTAGTTTCTTATGCTTCTTGTGGTGCTGCTATGATCAACTTTTTTAGATCATGGAGCATATGAAATATTTTGTTTGAAAGGTGGTTGTTAAAATTAATAGTTACTTGTCACTTGCTTTATCTAAGGATAAAGAATACTTTAAGTTGTCACTTGCTTAATTATAGGGTTGTTGGTTGTTACTTTTGAGTTTTCGGGAACAGAAATATTAGGTTTTGTTGGAATGTCCTCTGCTACCCCTTCAAAATTGAGATAAAATATTTGTTCTCAAAGAAACTCGCAATCTCCAAGTTTTCTTGTATGCCTCATATATATGCCTTGCATTTGTATTTTTATTAGAGTGAAGTATAACATTAGTTAAATATGATGAGTACTTTTTCATTTTCTTGCTTATGTAGACTGCTATTTTCCTCAACCTTTAGGAAATGTCAACCCTACCTCTTTACTCTGAGAAGATCAATTGCTAAAGTACACTTCTCCTCTATTTTGGACCGTCATTTTTTAGTCAGAAATTTTTATGAACAATGGTCAATCTTTGTTGATATCAAAGAAGCACTAAATTAATGCATCAAAACATAGTTGCAGTTCACGTTAAGTAGTTACTGTATCAATAATGCCATTTACATTCTCTTGCAAGGCTATGTATGCCTCCTATTTTTGCCATAAAAAGTTTCTCTCTATCCAGTCTATCCACCATATAGCCTGAGGAATAGTGTTCCAACTGTAACTTGCATTTTTATTGAGATCTTTTTTACTCCCAAATTTTTGAAACTCTACCATTGAGTTATGCATTGACAGGCTAATTCTCAGGATGTTTAGAAAAGGACTTCAGATTTGAGAGGTAACTGTACAGTGAAAAAATAGATGATTCAAATCCTCTGATTACTCCTCTCATAACGAACATTTACTGCATAAATGGAACCCTTCCTCTGGAGTTTGGGTGGCTGAGGCTCTAAGCATCATTGGCTACCACCAAATAAAGTAATTCACCTTGAATGGAGCCTGTTGCCCCAAATTTTCTTCCATGGCTACGAACTTGTGTCAGGAGGAGTTAACTACTTATAGCTAGATTGGCTGAGAACAAGCCTATGGAATGTTTCATTTACTCTGGGGGACCAGACTTGTTTAGAGTTGTAAACATGATGTTAGGTTCAAAAGTCACAACAAAAGACATGTATGTTCTATCTCCCAAACATAACAATGTCCTGTAAAGAATGAGGTTCCAATTTAATGTGATCCAGCAGTAGCATTTTACTTGGACGTATAGTGTACAAATCTGGAAATTGATCCACGAGAGGAGAAGTCCCCAGCCAGTCTTCCCAAGGTTAATCTGTTCATCATCCTCCAAAAGTGATCTTGTGTTGGAAAAGAATTCTCCCAGAATGATCTAATGAATTTCCATCAAACTGTGCCATGCAGAGTATTCTTAATTTTGTCATCTAGTGATCTAGTAAAGAATATTTATCTTTCACAATTCTCCTCCATAGGGCATTGTTATCTTTATTAGATCTTCTCAACCATTATATAATAAGTCTTCTTTGTATGTTTTCAAATCTTTTTACTCCTAGACCGCTCTATCTCTTATCTGTGGCGACTCCATTTACCAGACTAACCTTCTTCTGTTTGTTACCTTGCCAAAGAATATTATTTTTTCAGCTTGTTCAATCTGTCAATGACCAAACTGGGGGACGGAAATAGGAGAATAGTGTTAGTAGGGTATTGAGTACATTATTGATGCCAATAAATCTACTACCCAAGGAAAGATGTTGACATTTCGGATTTGAAAGTCTTTTTTCCACCTTCACTAGAATGCAGCCCCAAATAGAAATAGACCTGAATTTTCTCCCAAGGATAATCCCAGATATATGGGAAGGTTTCCTATATTGCAATTTAAGATGTAGACCAGTCATTTAAAGTTGGGAACAATGTCTACAGGAAACTTGGAAGGTTTTTGAGAAATTAATATGACGACCAGTAATCATTCTGAAAAAAAGAACTTGTTGCTCTTCAGCTTCACAAGAAATCAAAGTATCATATGAACATAAAATGTGAGAAGTGGTCAAACCTCCTCTGTGGTCTGCTGCATAACCTTTCATCCAACTGAGGTGAACAACTTTTGAGAACACTTTACTTGGTCCTTCCATAACAAGAATAAAAGAGGATGGAGACAGGGGATCGTGTTTATATAACTCCAACATCTCATAAGTAATTGAGTATTTTCTACTTTTCCTAACATCTCATCATAAATTAGTCATTTCTATTATTTTATTTGGTTAAAATGCTCACACTTTATTGAGTTTTCTTCTCCATCAGGTACTTATCATCCCCCTCCACCCCTCCCCCCTTTTTGACTTTTTTAATACTCTCTCTGTCCCAATTTATGGGACGCTTTTTGTTTTTCGAGACTCGGTTTATGTTTGACCGGTAATTTATGCATGGAATCTTCAAACTTTTTGTTTGAATCTCGAAATCCGAAAAGTGCCACATAAATTGGGATGGAGGGAGTATTCATGTATTTGTGTCAAAGCAAGGTTTTGTGACTTTTAACTGCATTTGGGTGATCATGATGTGATTCAATACATGTATCAGTTTAATTTTTATTTTTCATGCATGATAGTTAATTTTAGGAGCTAAGTTCTTTTATTATAGTATGTATTTTGTATAAGTTAAAGTACTACAATGTCGCTAAAGTAACATCAAATTTGCAATATTTTCTAACCTCAACTTATGAGTCCTTATGTTTTTTTTGTGTGTTCTGATTTTTATTTTATAGCATAGAGAAAGTCCAATAGTATATGTATCATTTAAAATTTATCATTTGCAATACAAAATTTGTATTAAATATTTTAAGATAAACGTTCAATGCATGTTCATTTAAAATTTATCATTTGCAATACAAAATTTGTATTATATATTTGAAGATAAACGTTCAATGCATGTTACCAGAGACTAGTTCCTCTATAAGCAGGAAAGGAGTCATGAGCAACTCCATTGATAAGAACAGAGAATCTTGTTGATCTCATCTGGAAGCAATTCTTGAATGTTGCTTTTTATAGATGAAAGTAGTCGGGATTCTCTAGTGTGTACCACATAAAGTCCCAGTTGAGGTGATCATAGGCCTTTTCTATGTCCAACTTACATAGAATCCCAGGAATTTCAGTTATTTTCCTCACATCTACACATTCATTAGCTATAAGTATGGCATCCATGATTTGCCTGCCCTTAATGAATGCCAATTGATGTGTATCCACCAGCTTTGACATCACTTTCTTGAGTCTTTCTGTTAGGACCTTGGATATGATCTTGTAGACACTGGTAATCAGGCTGATGGGCCTGAAGTCCTTCAATTCTGTTGCCCCCATCTTTTTTGGGATCAAGGTTATAAATGTAGCATTGAAACTCTTTTCAAAATAGCCTTGACTATGGAAGTTCTGAATGGCTGCTATCACCTCTACCTTCACCACATCCCAACAATGTATGAAAAAAGTCATGGTAAAACTATCTGGACCAGGAGCCTTCTCTCCTGCATAATCACAAATACATTCTTTAATTTCTTGTTCTCCAAATTGACTTTGAAGAAAAAGGTTGTCTTCTTCATTGAGCACAACTTGTTCTCTGGGGCTAAATTGGGGTCTCCAGTGTTCATTCTCTCTATAAAGGTTTTGGTAGAAACCTGTGATCTCCTCCCTAATTGTTGTTGAGTCTGTGACATTAGTTCCATTAATCAGAAGACTGTCAATATTGTTGTATCTCTTGCGACTGTTTGTTATTCTGTGGAAAAACTGTGTTTTTGTCACCCTCTTTCAACCATATAGCCCTGGATCTTTGCCTACATGCTACTTCTTCTCTTTTTGCCACTTCCTCAAACTCTACTGACAGGACAGCCCGCAGATATGATTCATCTTCAGACAAGCACCTTTGTTCCTGGATCATATCTAACTCATAAAGTTGATTCAAGATGTTCTGTTTCTGTAAACCTAGATTACCTTGTACAGTTTTGCTCCATTCTTTCAGTTTTACTTTGAGAGCCTTCATCTTGCAAGCTAGAATGTCATCTGGTCTACCCACAAAAATTTCGGAGTCCCACCACCCCTTAACTCTCTCTTTGAAATTTTCAGTTTGCAACCACCAATTTTTGAATTTAAAATACGACTGTGACCTCTCCCAATTTCCACATTCTAGTAGCAGCGGGTTATGGTCTAAGGTGACTCTAGGCATAAGAGCTTGTTTGATTTTCTTGAATGATATCTCCCATTCTTCTGAAAATAGGAACCTATCTAATCTTGTTGCTGTAACGTGCCTATCTCCTTTTCTCCAAGTAAAGCTGCCACCTATGAGTGGTGGGTCTACTAATTCCATGTCCTCAATGAAATCTGAAAAATCCTCCATAGCTTTGGTGATTCTGTTACAATTCTTCTTCTCAGAAGGGAACCTCACAACATTGAAATCCCCTGCAATCACCCAAGGGCCATTAAATAGACTCTTTACTGCTCCTAGTTCCCCCCAAACCTCTTCCCTTTCCTCTCTATTGTTTGGAGCATAGACACCTGAAAGGTGCCAGCTGAAATTCTGTGTTTTCCCCCTAAATCTTACAGTAATACAGTTAGCCCCTACCTCACAAACTTCTCCCTCCCATATGTTGCTTTCCCATAGAATGATAATCCCCTTTGGTACATCTGGCTTCCAATTGTGTGTGATTTACCCCTCTATTCACCCATAGTTCTTTAATTGTCTCCCTTATATCACCTCTTAATTTAGATTCCTGGAAACAGTAGACATCTGCCCTCCATTTGTGTACCATGTTCTTGATCATCAGCCTCTTCCCAGGATCATTGAGGCCTCTCACATTCCATGACACTATGTTAACCTTCATTAAGGTTGCTCACAAAATACCCCCCTCTACTTCTTGTTCCAAAGCTAATGAAATTGCTGGTTGGTTCCAGGTTTTTAAGCTCCTTTGAAACCTCTTCTTTTGGAGTCATTGGCACTATTGCCCCTGATATCTCATCTATTACTTGTCTTTTGCCATCGATATTCATGAATAATTTCAAAGCCGCCTCCTCACAGCCTTGAAAGTGGACTCCAAATTCCTTACTCAGTTCAATTATATTCTGTTGAACCCACATGGGAATTGTTTTCTCAGATTTTGTTGTGCCACCCACTGTTGAGTTTAGAGGTAAAATATCCTCTACTGTGTCATCCCTCTCCTCCTTCTCTTCCAACTGTAAATTCTCCCCTGCTTGTGTAGCGAAGTTCTCCTTGTCGTCCATCTGGATTATAGACATCGCATCATCATCGCTTTGCTCTTCGGCCAGTTCAAAACTATTGTAAGCCTCTACAATGGTTCTTGGGTTGTTTACTAACTCATCTTCCAAACCCATTGACAATAGTTTATTAACTTCTATCTCAATTTGGACTGGGTCTGAAATCTTTGTTACATTAGGCCCAACTCTGTTGTTATAATTTGGGAAAATTGTACATAATGGCAAACTATTAATTCAAATTAAATAGTATAACCACACTTTGATTTAATTGTGTCCTGTAGCAAACTGTTTGCCAGCGCCTCTCTCCCTCAAACTCTCGCTCGCCACTCTCCTCTCTCGCTCACTCCCTCTGTGCTTGCCTCTCTCGCTTTATACAACAGAATTGTATAAATTGCATTTCTGTTTGTATAAAGCGAGAGAAAATTGTATATACACATGCAAATACATATATATTCGTCTTATACACTTATAACTATACAATAAAAATATTCCCCTGCCCAGTTCTCTTTTGCCTTTCTCTCTTTCTCGTTTTATACAGAATTGTATAAATTGTGTTTCTGTTTGTATAAAGCGCGAGAAAATTGTATATACACATGCAAATACATATATATTCGTCCTATACACTTATAATTATACAATAAAAATATTCCCCTGCCCAGTTTTATGTTTGTATAATTTATAATTTATGTTTGTATAAAGCGAAAGAGAGAGTGATTTTTGATATACAAATATTTGTCAACGAATTATACAAACGAGAGGCTAACAACAATTTATACAAATGGCTTGCCAACGAAATTATACAAATTTGAAGAAGAGCCAACGAATTATACAATTGCTTCTTTTTGTATATATGTATAGCGAAATAGACAGCTTTCAATTGTATATGTATAGCGAATTATACATATATATGTTTGCTATGGAGCGCAATTATGCAAACTTTGCTATAGCATACAAATATGATTTTTTTGTTTGCTATATGTGAAAGTTGCTCTTATAATTTCTGCTGAACTGGGCCAACGGGTCCAGGCCCAACCTTTCTTTGCCCTTTGTTTGATTTGTAAGTGTCCAGTCACGTGTTAGGGTTAGTGTTTTAAAAAAATTTGAACAACCCACGTGTTCCTCTGTTTGTTCAATTGTTTCCAGTACGGATAAAGACTTGTATAAATTATAGGAACCACATATTATAAGTACTAAATAACATTCTATCCCTTCTAGTTTTCTATTTACCAAAAATCCCTTAAAAATGATGTTTGCGGGATACATAGCGTTGTGCGCGGGATACATTAGGTTTGATATATTCCACATAGCGGGATACATAGCGTTGTGCACGAGATACATTAGGTTTGATACATTCCACATAGCGGGATACATAGCGTTTGATACATTCCACATAGCGGGATACATAGCATTGTGCACGGGATACATGTGGGATACATAGGTAAATAAGAGATTTTTGAAAATTTTGAAAGAAGTAGGGATAAATGGATATTAAGGTAAGTAAATGAGTGTAGTTAAGTAATTAGTCCTAAAGACTTTTCAGAGCCCAGTATTATCCGTTGGTTTGAAGACTTGCCCACTGGATCAGCTCCGGCGATCTCCTTCTGTTCTCCGGCATAAAATCTCACCGGCGCCTCATTCCAGATTTGGATGATGTACCCAGTTCCTTCGAATTCGATTCTCACTTCCTTCGGGATCCTATATCCCCAACCCTTCACTAGAATTATCGCCCATTTTAAATGATTCCGAAGTTGTCTCCTCCTCTGTACTTATCCACCCTCCGCTAAAATCCCCTACTGCCTTAAAAGCCTTTTCTGACCACAAGTGTAGAGGCAAACCTACCAGTCTGATCCATGTCTGCTTGATAGCTGCTTTATATTGAACAGCACCTATAGTTGGAGTCCACCATTGGAGTTGCAGGGCCTGTTTCTTCCAAAACCAGCTACCTCTCAGAGCATGTTCTGCCTCTTTCATAGAGGCAAACTCGAAGAGGAAACAATTTTTACCCATGTCGTAAATGTTCAGACCATGGGCTTGATTCCAGTTCAAGTTAGCCCATCTGCGAATCTCAGAGAGAGTCGGGATTTCAGACCCATTGGTTAAAACCTGACCATAGAGGCTCCTGCTCAAAGGTTCATTGAGCGATAGCTTGGATTCAGCCTCAATGCGGATTACATCTTCCTCTTGCTTTGTGGTCGCAGCATCTATCCCTCTGGAAGTCCATTTACTTTTCTCGACTGTTTCAGCATAAGGAATCTTCTTATCAATCAATGTGGAAATTCTATTAGTTGTCTTTGTAGCTTTGTCATAAATGAACCTCTCTATTTTATTAGCCACATCCCACCAACCTACATTGAATGTTGTTTCTGGGACAATTAATACTGCTCTGTTTCTGCCAAGTACACTGATTATACTAATATATCTCCCCCCATTGTTGAAATTTCTTGCACAGAATAGCTGCGTAGATAGTTCCTGTCGTTTCCATCTGCATACACTGTTGCCTTTGACCTTTGAAGCTTCTTTGAGAGTCCTACACAGCCATTCCATTGTTTTCTGGCTAAAACTTGCCCTGCTCATCCTCTTTCTTCCACGTTCAGTCCAGTCGTACCAGTTTTCTCCTCGAGAGGAACTTCTCGAGATGTCAAAAGATTTGAATCCCATCGTAAAATAGATTATGTCACTTTCCATGGTAGAGATCGAAGAGAGAAAGAAAAAGGTGTTAGTTAACACGTAAAGTGGTAACCAGGATGAAGAAAGAAATCTTTTCCGGTGCCGAGGCCACCGGAAGGGGTGGTTCTACCCTCCTAGTAAGTAGGAGAGAGAACTATCTCGGTTCCAAAGGCATTGTTCTATGATTTTGATTCTTCTGGCCTTCTTGATTTGATGAAATTTTTACAGCATATCATATGGTAGAAGTCTTCTACTGACTCATCATATCTTTATTGGAGGCCATTTACCCCAAAGATAGATTGTGTTCTTTTATATTCCTTATTATATGTTTTTGTTTTGCACCCTGATGATACTGTTTGTTAAGGGATATTTTTTGGTACGATTTTGATGTGTAAATTGCTATGGAAGCCATAACCATTATTCACTTATCTTTTAAATGTAAGTATAACAAAACATTTTCTTTTCCCACTTCTCCTTAGATTCTATATACTATGAAAATATAAGTAGCCCTTTATGGATGGAAATCATATGTTTGTTTGGAAAATGACTATTATTATTTTTGGCCTTTGCAGATCCCTTGGCTGAGAGGAATTCCACCGAGGTAATAACAGCGCATTTTACTTATTTCTGAAGACAATTTCATGGCATATTTATGAGTTTTTGACATTCCTGCTTTCTTTTGTTTGTGATAATTAGGTTAAAGAATTCGGTGGTTCATCAGCACTTTCATTCCCCTCTCCTGTAAATCTATATCCATCCGCTCCCTCTGTTTCATCTTTATCATCGCGTGGCCAGCTGCCTCCTGCTAGCTTTACTCCATGTTTGCCTCACCATTCTTCAGCGCAGCAAGTTTCCGATGGCCGCCGTGTACCAGGGCTGAAGTCACCTACATTTTCATCTTCTTTTGTGCTCCTCCCTGGTTGGAGTAATGATTCAACTAGGGGCTCTCATGGTGGATCATCAGATGGTTGGTCAGTTCCTGACCTGGCAAATCCTCGTCGAGACAGGTGGTCATTTGATAGTGAATCCTTTGGTTTCCATCGTGGAAGGGCTACTACTAGCCGAGGTTCTGGGTCATCTTCGTTCGATCTCCAAACCTGTGGCATATGTGCAAAGCTATTGAATGAACTTGCTGTTGCTGTTCTAGTTTGCGGCCATGTTTTCCATGCTGAGTGCTTGGAGAATATGACATCTGCAATCAATAGGTTTGACCCAGCTTGCCCTGTCTGTACTTTTGGGGAGAAACAGGCCTTGAAGATATATGAAAAAGCAAAAGCTAAGATAGAATTGAACGCTAGAAAGAGATTTCGAAACAGGATTGTTGACAGTGATATTAGTGGCAATCTTGCTCAGTTCGAGTGTCAGAAAAGTAGTGCTCATGAAGGAGGGTGGAGCTCCAGTTCCAGTATGAAGAGCCCTTCAAAGAGGCATTATTTCTCCTTTGGTTCAAAGGGATCAAGTCCTTCAACTCGGAGAAGGGGGTTTTCCTGGACAAGATCTAACAAGAAGTAGGTTTCTATATGGACATAAAAGGTAAGGAAATTCCTTTAGACATTGCTCCCTTCTTGTTTACATCGTCGGTTTGCAGTGGATTTCTGATAGATGTTAATCCAAATCCCATACTCTTGTCTGACAAATGGTTTACATTGCATTAACTTGTGCAGATAACCATGGGTATGCTCTCAGCAGTCATGATCTTGATGGTGGAAATGCAATGCAATGCATTCGCAGGCAAGTTATACATTGTAAAAAAAGGGAAGAATACAAGGTGGATGATTAATTTGTTAAATAGGAAAGAAGATGCAAATTGAAAATAGTTGTTGTTTCAGTGTATGTTCTATTAGGTTACATACATGTCAGCCCATGAAAAATTGTCCTGAAGATTTTATATATATGATGCTTAAAAGTGCTCATCTCTATTGCCTATATAGTAGTAGATATTTGGTGTTCTACTCATTGCTTAAGAGTAGCATCAGCCCTTGTATAACTTTGTATTCTTATTTGAGTCAGTTAGAGCGCCTAATACTCTCCATTTATCAGCAACTGTGAATGTCATGACACCTTAAAAGGATTGGTTATTGCTCTTATAGAGTACTCAAGTTGAAGTAGCGACTTCAAGCTGGACATGATTGGTTATTGCTTGAAGTTGACTAATTTCCGGAGCAAGCCTATCATGTCCAGCTTGAAATGGACTAATTTTTGGTAGACCGAGTATTTTAGGGGTCATTTGGTAGCTGGTAGTAATTATGTAGGGGTATTAGTTATTCCATCTTATATCATGCGTATTAATTTTATACAATAAACAACTTATTTACTAACTAGCTATTAAACATGGTATAATTTGTACGAAAAATAATACTACATGAACAAGTTTTGTGTTTTTACTAGCTCTAATTGTGTCTAGAGCAGGTCAGAGAATCGAAAGCAAGCTCTAATATCACTGATAAGGGGTTCTTTCATATTGAGTATAAATTTACAAAGGGAAACGAGTTTGCCTAAAGAACAAATGAAAGAATTGAAAGTTTCTTGATGTTTTAGAATCCAAACTATTATTAAAATTCCAAAAATAACTCCTTAAACAGTGGGTAAGTATATATTCTAATATGTAAGTGACTTCAATTTGAGCTAAAAAGGAAATCACTCTAATAGGTTAAGACATTATTTTTTGCTACTATCCTTTTCTCCATTGTTGAAGTCTATTGCATCTCTTTTCCATACTTGAATTGATATGTTTTATTTAAGTCAAAAATCTATTGAAAGCAATCTTTCTAACTTAATAAAGTAGGAATAAAGCTACATACACATCATCACCATCCTCAGACCCAACTTGTAAAATTACACTGGTATGTTGTAGTAAATTTTCACGCACATTTGATATGTTGTGTGAAATTGAAGCTGAAAGTCTTTGCTATATCAAATATCTAACATGATTTCAGAATTCAATCGCACGAACTGCATTGCGCAAATTATATCAAATACTCTGTCCAATCTTTCACCTTACCATCCATAACAAACTATAAAGGAAAAAAGTCTAACAAAGCATCTGCATTCCGCGTCGAACAAAACAGTTGACCATGTGCCGAATGCTCTCTTAAAACTTGCTTTTTACATGATTCCTGAGGATGAACAATACAAGCATATGTAACTGCAATTGTAAAGCAAGTAGCCAGACTAAGATTGTGGAACAGTCCAATAGCTCCTTTGAGGTTTGGTTATATCACACAATGGCAAAAATCCCTCACTCCTTGCTAAAATCGGCAGTATAGTGCACACTTGATTCAAGATTCTTTGCTTCATTCAGTTTCCTTACAGCCTGTAAATAAATATTCAAACTTTGACTCAGAATCTGCATTACCCTCCAACTAGCCAACAGCTTGTAAAAGAAGAACCAGACGTACCTTCATGAAATCCTCATGCATGACATAATCACGCTCTGCACGTACTGCTGATATACCAGCTTCAGTGCACACATTTCGAAGATCAGCCCCATTAAAACCCTGAGGAGAAACAGATTGTCAAAACTCCGCTTAGGCAACACAAGCAAACTAATTTTCATAGAATCACTAGCACACCTCAGCAAGCTTAACAACAGCTTCATAATCAATGTCACCATGTTTGGCAATTCCAGCAGCATGAATCTTGAGGATCTCAATTCTTGATAGTTCATTAGGCAAGGGTATTTCTATCTTTCTATCTAACCGACCAGGGCGAAGAAGAGCTGGGTCCAAAACATCTGGCCTGTTTGTTGCCATAATCATTTTTACCTGCAAGCAGAATAAACATTAACTACTTAGCATCGACGTATTTTTTACTTCAAAAATAAAAGCAGAAAGCCAGAAGATCACAGTAGTCAAAGCTAAACTCAAGCAATCTTCTCTTCTTTTTAGTATGTATCTATATGATAGACAATCAAGTTTTGAGGAATTATCCTTCTTTTAGAATCCAAGAAACAAGAACTGCAAGTAAGGGACAAGTATGCACACCATAGATCATAAATCTATAGAAATTCCCATTATATAGCTTCTTAGAGATATATAATTAAGATCAACTTAAGACCTTTCCAATATGGTCAAATCCATCCAACTGATTAAGCAACTCCATGAGCGTTCTCTGAATTTCACGATCTGCACTTGTTCCCTCGCTAAATCGACGTCCACCAATTGCATCAATCTCATCCATGAAAATGATGCAAGGCTTTACACAGACAAAAACTATCAGTACATTTTGAGGCAGTACCAGCAGTGGTTCACTGGATTTAGTATACCCAGGATGTTTTTGAAGTCCTTACTTGGTGATCACGAGCATAATTAAACATTTCCCGGATTAATCTCGCACTCTCACCTATGTATTTATCAATAATGGCACTTGATACTACCTGCATTTTTCACCAACTATAAATAAATACTGATATTATGAAATACTTTGAAAAGGGAGGAAATAACCAAAACCTCTACTATTCACCTTTAAGAAATTGGCATCAATGTTGCTAGCAATTGCCCTGGCTAACAAGGTCTTGCCAGTCCCAGGAGGCCCATAGAGAAGAACACCCTGAGACGGACAAACTTGGTAGCATCAGAAGAAACTAAAAGTATCAGCAATTTCAACTATGCAAGCACCATGAAAAATGCAGAGACACAAGAATATGGTCAATTATATTAAACAAGTCACCTTTGGAGGCTTAATTCCAACACGGAGGAAAAGTTCAGGGTTCATCAGAGGTAGTTCTATTGATTCTCTCAGCTCTCTGATCTGATCTGACAGTCCACCCACAGCAGAGTAGCTTATATTGCCAGGCTCTTCATGAAGCATATTATACACCAGAGGATTAACCTGTCATAATAAACTCAAGATAAGGAACTCAGGGAGGGACAAATATGATAATTCTCTACAAGTTCCCAATACTAGCACAGAAATAACCACTAACTTCACGTGGGAGTGCCCTCATGATTGTAAGAGTCGTCATATCAAGAACCACTCTAGTGCCAGAAGTTAGATTTTCCTTATCCACTGTACTGCAACAGCCAACCAAATACCTTGGACCAATGGCTTTAACTATCACTGAAAAAAACATGTTTTAAATTAATCCAAAAAATTACTTCAACTTGTTAATAGCAACGTAAAACCGGGTCATCAGAATAATTCCTAATAGAATGCAATATGAAGATGGATAACTAGTAAATATGGTAATGCATGGTTCATAGCTAAGAGAATAAAAATGAACATGGATAAATAGTATGTACAGACAATGTACGCAAGATTAAAACCTATGAACAGCACCACTTGTCACTAGCTCACTGCCATCTTTGCAGCACAAAACCACAATGTTACATCTAGAAATAGACTTCTTCTCTAGGTAAAAGAATAAGGGTTCGTATTCAGGGTCTCACTTCATCATTATATATGTTTTTAATTTTTAATTTTTGGGAGGTGGGGAATTTTACTCCTTAAAATCCATAGATCTCAAAAAAAATGACGACAAACAACGGAAATACGAGAAAAGAATGTATTACCGCATTTGTTATCTAGAGGCCGGAGCACTTCACCTATGATCTGCCCAATGCTCTGAAGCGACTTCAAATCATCTTCTGTTTTACCATATTCCTTTTTGGCCGCACGCAAATTTTCTCTCACTGTGTACAATTTTACAACCAGCATCAGTTATACAACAATTGAACACAGAAAGACAATAGATATATAGCGAAGGTTGCTAGCACTTGGACAGAAAATTGTTTGGCATCCTATATAAAAAGAAACAAAATAAATAGATAAAATCAGTGACCATAACGGAAATATTAATGGTGACAGCATAATTAGCTATCACAAAGCAGACTCATTGCTTTGAGAAATGACAGCATAATTAGCTATCACAAAGCAGACTCATTGCTTTGAGTTTTCATTTCTCAATTCGTGATGTAAGATGTGCACCGTTTGTCAATGCTAAACAGCTAAGGATTTAGGTTATAGATGCTATACCGATTGAAGCGCATACAAAAAGCTCTCATTTTGACTGATATGGAAGTAGTACAAAACAGAGTTACAGACAAAACCATAATCACTGGCTTATCAGAAATTTTACCGCAGACGATTATAAAGAATACTTAATAAGTCAATCAAGAATCATAACAAAGAAAGCAAATTATTTGAATAAATAAATCTAAGCAAAGAAGGCTATGATCCCCCTTAAAATACTTGAATAGATCTTTACACTACAATGGTGATGTCTGATGGCATCTTATGATGAAGTCATCACAACTCTACCTCCATAGTGCAGGACCCTTTGAGAATAAGGAGTAAAGAAAAGAAAAGAAGATAAGCATAAATGAGAAAATAACTAGGAAAAGAAGAAAAACCATAAAAAGTAACCCCAAACAGAGGTGTTGGAGTGAACTGCCCAAAAGGAATCTACCCAGGGGGATGTGTATACCGTGTATGTTTGAAATACTGATAAGAAAACTCCCAATACCGATGAATTCAATAATAAGCAGAACACACAAAATAAGGTTAAGGTTCTCTAATCACCTATCCCCATCCAAAATTCTTGTTCCAAAAGGCCTCCTTAGTCCTAAACAAAGTTAAAAACCTTAAAGAATTTAGCCAACTTGTCATAGATATTTGGACAAGGCTTAAAGCTCATAGATACTTCCGGAAAAGAGTTTCTATTTTTTCCTCTTTTTTCAAGAAAAATTGTGACACAGTATAGCTTTCCAAGACTTGATAATCATTCATGTTTTTTTTATCAAGGACTTAATAATCATTCATGTTTGATGTTCTAAAGTATTAATAATCAAATACATAATTAAAAAACAGAAGAAAATACTCATAATTGATACAGCATTTTGTGCTCTTGATCTTTCAATACTACTTTATGTTTATAGTTGCTTTCACAATTAAAACTAGTTCCTCAAGTGTTGAAAACTTTTACTCAGGAAAATATTATCTCTTAACTTGCCATTTCCTAGTAGAAATACGGTGCCTCAAATTTTTTACTAGTGAAACATTCGCTTTGATCTTTCTTGGCATAGTTACAAACGTACATGTTTCTCCCAAACCATAAAACTGATTTTCTCATTCAACCAAAACGTTTTTGATTCTTCGTTCAGTTTCTCCTTTCTTCAAATAGGTAAAGAAAGCAATGCTATTTCCATTTGAAAATCTTACTGCCTATGGGAGGCGTCATTTGCAGTAGCCCTTTCAAAATGATAGGTTTCAATTATGTTCTAGTATATCCAAATTAACAATAATTACCATTTGCAACCTGTACTCGAACTAGTTAAGAAGCACTAGCACTGATACCCTATGGTGTAGAGCTGCATTCCAGTAAATGAGCTTAAATCAAACACAGTGGAAAACCCAAAAAAAATACATTGGGTAACCTTATCAACTCTTTCCACATACAAAGGTTACATAGACTTATGATGTTGCTTCATAGGTCAAGAGATAAATTTGAGGTCCAACTGTGAGAAGTTTTTGGTAAGGAAAACTATGTAGCAATGTTTCTGATTTCTAAGATTCTTTCATAAAGATAAAATACAGCTACGAATTACACAGGAAGGAATAACTTAAGATTTGTAGTTTTGAGAAGTTGTGATGTCCTTTTACACCAAGTCATGAACTCGGTACAAAGAAAAATGTTTCTGATAAGGCAGGAAAACATGTAGTCATTCTTCTTAATTATAAGATGCTTTAATAAACATAAAATACGCTACGTGTTGAATGTCATCGGTTAAAAATTAAACTTTAAATTCGTTTGCAAGTTGTAGGACAAAAATAAAGCTTTCCATCATTAGCTCATTATTACAAGAGAAAGTTACAGAAATTGAAAATCCTTCTAATTGAACATGAATTCACTATTGAGCTTGGAAAGTTATTGTTGTAAGCTAGTAGATGCTTGTTAACCAGACAACCACATAAATGACACTTCAATTTATTTTGTTTTGGTGACCGTGGGGTCCAGCCCAGCTTTCGCACACCTCAGCTGATTACATGGATACCTTCCACCTCCCACCAGCAACATGTCTGAAAACAAATAGGAAGAAATCACCTAATGTTTTTGTCCCTGTTGGGAATTGAACCTGAGACCTCATGGTGCTCAATTCACATCATTGACCACTACTAGGCTACACTTCAAATTGACTTGCCTATGAACAAGAATAGAGCTTAGTGCTCACTATCTTTAGTTCATTGTTCAGAAACTACAAAGTCAAGTGAATCAGTGTTGTTAAATATTAAAATATGTGTACATTCATGATTTGTAGCACATTAATGGAAGAAAGCAACTTACCTTGTATGATATAGAAACTAATTACTTACGTTACTACAAGTCGTCGACATTCCAATATAATGAATCTTTGTGATGTATAGTCAACAACTAATCCAACAAGAATTATTCTTCTTTTCTCTTTTCACATGGTATCAAAGCCTCTAACATTTTGTTAAAACCTAGGTAGAAAGAAATTAGCCATTTGCTAACCAGAAGAAAGTGAAAGCATTTGTTGAATGACAAACATCCAACGACAAAAACAACAAAGGACCCTAGAGATCTTCACACCATACAGTTGCTTTCATTGTGCATTGCTCTAAACCAAACTATGATCTTTCATTTCTTTTTTTCTTACCTTAAAGGTGTGTTTGTTGGAAAATATTTTTCAATTTCTCCATGCTTATGATGAATTTTGGAAAACATATGCTTTTGCAAAACAAGTTCCTTAAAATTAATAATAAATTAGACTTCCCCGGTAGAAGTAGAAAAACAAGTTCCATATGAAGCATTCTACAGTGATTGTCTCCTCCCCACCCTCCAACACATCCCATCCCTATTTCCACCCCACTTCCCCATAGCCGTCATCCCCATCCCCACCAACCCCACCCCATCTCTATAGTATTTATGTAGATTATATACACATGTTTTTGAGGATAACATTTTTGTTACACACCAAACACAAGAAAGTAAGTAAGAAAATCACTTATATTCTAGGAAAGCATTTTCCTTCGTTCCAAACACACCATAATCATTGTTTTATCCCTACAAAAAGCAATCATAGCATAAGTGCATGGACATATTCATAGCATTGCGAGAAACACCACATATAACCCACTAAAACAAGCCTGAGGGTGGTTTCAATATAACTAAGCTCTGTAGGAATTAGTAATTTTTTACATCATGACTTAATCAAGGGATTATCAACTCAAACGCCTCTTAGGTCCACCCACATACTATCTATCCTTCCCTGCTTACCCTCAAGAAACCAAAAATTAGTAAGGCCTAAAAATCGCTGTATCTAAGCAAGGGATTATCAACTCAAACGCCTCTTAGATTTTTTATGAGTTGGCAATAACTTAATTTCTCCTCTATCTCTTTCTTCTTCATTTCTCTTCCACATTTCTGGTAACAGGAGCTTCTCTTGTTACAATTATCAACTAAAAACACCTCTTTATGTGTATATAGAGATGATACTAGAACTCCTTTTTATCCTGTTATAGTTTAGAGGATCGATCCAATATTTCAGTAGCTGGCAATCTAAAAGATAACTTATGTACACCGCAGTTTCATAGGCTTCAATCCCAGACTTTTTCTATAAAAAGTACATATATGTAGTATATAGATACATGTATACACACATATATATAATGTGTGCATGCATTCACTGCCTATAAATTCTCGATTAGCTTCTGTTGTTACAATTATCAACTTAAAACGCCTCTTATGAGTATATAGAGATGATATTAGCACTCCTTTTATCCTGTTATAGTTTAGAGGATCGATCCAATATTAAGTTATGTACACCGCAGTTTAACACAAGCTAAACGTACATATGTGTAGTATATAGATACACGTATAAACACACACACACACACACACACACACACACATATATATATATATATATATATATATATATATATATATATATACTTATAATGTGTGCACGAATTCACTGCCTATAAATCCTCGATTAGCTTCTGTTGTTACAATCATCAACTAAAAACGTCTCTTGTGTGTGTATAGAGATGATAGTAGAACTCCTTTTATCCTGTTATAGTTTAGATGATCGATCCAATATTTCAGTAGCTGGCAAGCTAAAAGATAAGTTATGTACACTACCGTTTCAGAAGAAAGCTAAACGTACATATATGTAGTATGTAGATACATGTATAAACACATTTATATATAATGTGTGCACGCATTCACTGCCTGTAAATCATAGATTATCTTGTGTTCATCAGGTAACCAAAATGAAGTTCAGAATTCAGGAAGAGTAGGGTTTTGAGATTTTTAGAGAATTTTACCTGCCCATACCTGAGCATCTAGCTCCTTCTGCTGGAGTAGCCTTTTCCGGAAGTCAGCATGTGCCGTACGGCGGCGGAGGACATCTTCCGACTCGCTCGTCATCGGAATATTCTCAATCACCTTGCCTAAATTCAAATGACTTGAAGAAAACGAAACAGGAATAGTGTGATCTTCTACTCATCTCTTCTTCAAAATGAAGAAGTGGAGGTAGCAATTGAGTGGGCTTAAGCTAAATTGTGACTTTATTCAAAGCCCAATAATATCAAAACACTTGAAACATTAAGAGAAAATCATATCCAAATTTTGAGATTGTTTAAAGGAATTTTGAGTTGATTGAGAGGGGGAAAAAGTTGTATATTTTATTGTATCAACATGTATAAAAATGTATATATACATTTCTAATATATAATTATATCACTATTTATATAACGGAAAAGGGTCAAAACTATCCTTAAACTATCTAAAATAGCTTAAATATATCCTTAAACTATATGTCGGCACAAAAATATCCTTTCCGTCAAACTATTGGCCCACACCTACCTTTATAGTTAACGAAATTATCCATGTGTGTGTTAAATGCCACATGGACGCCACATGGATGTCACATGTACACACCAAACAGACCCCACCTCCACATGCATAGATGACTTAAATCTTTAATTTCACTCTTTTTCTCCCATTTTAATTATTCGGTTTTTGATTATTATTTTAATAGTGCTTACCGAATACCATACCAAACAACTTCTGTTTGGTTCAATATTCTGCAAATAATATATACACCATGACACTGAATATATCACGTCAGTTCATCCATGACCAGTGGAAAATGAAATCATCTAAAGCCCAATCCCTAATGCAACCCTATCATGGCCAAACAAAAATTTATAGATAAGTTTTCTAAAACTACTCCCAAAATCTATGATTAAACGTTAGCTAAACTTTTGAACTTTCCCCAATTTTGAATGGAAACCCTAACCCTAGATTTCATTTTTTCTATTAAATCTTCATGTTGTACGCCTCTTCAATTCCATTTGTGTCTTTTCTTTTTCGGTGGGTGAGCGATCAAAGCCCCTTATAATCTACGCATGATCGTTGAGTTTTATTGATTTGAAGATGGGTAGGTGAGTTGGTGGCCCTAACTATTTATGGTTTGCATGAATTTGAAATGTATTGATGTTTTACTAATTTAGAATTATAGTACATAATTGGGTTTGGCGAGAAAAAATATGAAAGAAGGAACCGATAATCTTTCTTTTGGAAAAACTTCAGAATATGACAAACATCCATATATATTTAAGAAAAATAGCTATGTTTTATTTTTTTCATGTTATATGGATATAATTAGACAATAAATAGCAAAGTGAATTATATACAAATAAATAATTTTTTAAATATTTTTAATATAATAAATAAATATTAAATAGGAAAGTAATTATTGAATGCCTAATTAATTATGGCCGGCACATTTATGATCTTTTCCCATGTTTACCATCATCAAATTTTTATCTTTCATCAATATTCATACATCACATATTTTCTGATTTTTTCCTCCAAATTCATTCAAATTCTAGATCTTTTACATCACTGCAGGAGCGATTTTTGTGATTTTGTATCCATCAGGTATCTTCTAATTGCATATTTATCTCGTTTTTATGAGCATTATATATCTACACATCTACACTTCTACTATTTTCATAGGGTTTTGATTCAAGAATTTGTTTATCCATTTCAATGGCTGAAATTGATACTCCGAGGAGGGTTACTAGAGGTATACATTTATTTGACAAATTGTTGGATGAACTACCTGCTTTTGATTTGTGTATTACTCAACAACAAGCCAAAAATCCAGGCTCTATTGCTACAATGGAGAAAGAAAGAAGAACAAAAAAGGTTAATGACCATATATCCTTAAATCTGCTTGAAGAAATCGAGCATGCAAAATTAGTAAAGAGAAAAAAAGGTTCAAAAGTGAAAACTAATCTTGAAAAAAGGAGAAAAGTCAACAACATTGATTCAAGTTGGTGCTGAAAAAGAGCAGTCAAGCAGGAACAAGAGGAAAATGAAATTGAGATTTGTATGCTTTATTTTTTTTAGTTTAATGTCATTTACTTATCTATCTCAACACATGTATTGTGTGCCATTGTCTGCTTGTATTGAAATTGTCAAAAATTTGATTTCATATATATATATGTATATAGTTGTTAAAAAATGAGTACAAGAAGAACATGAACAAAAAAGAGATTGAGGGTTCTTTGATTGTCAATTTTGTATATAGTAGAATACTTATATACATGGACATTTGTATTATTATATAACCACAAGTTGAACTGTTATCTGTGAATACAATTATATTTGAATACATAAGTACTCTGTCAAATTAAAAAAGTATTAAGGAATTCAAGTATAGTTGGATACATCAATACTATATTGTTGGCCTTTTCAAAATTTTATTTACAAGAATACTTATACAGTTTGATACCCACAAATTGTATATTTTTTGCTCGTTTGTCTAATGTATCCATACTTATACAGTTTGATACCCACAAATTGTATCTTTTTTGCTCGTTTGTCTAATGTATCTATATTTTTGCTTAACAACAGTGTTGAAATGTATCCATATTTATATACATAGATACTTGTATTGTTATATAAGTACAAGTTGAAATATTGATTTGTGAATACAATTATGGGAAAATTACGCGGTTAAGCAAACTTATACTATTTAACTACTCATCATAACTATAGTTTGCTATAATTACCACTCACGACTAACATTATACATTAATTACGCGGGTTGACTTCGAGTTTGTATAATTAATCATGTTTGTATATGTATAATTCGTCAGAATATACAAATACATATACAATTCACCTCTCTGCCCTCTCTCGCTCTCTCTCCTCTCTCTCCCAATCTCGCTCGCCTCTCTCCTCCCTCTCCCAATCTCGCTTGCTATATATACAATTGCATATGTATAATATACAATTATCTAACATATATACATATACAATTCACCTCTCTCCCACTCTCTGCCCTCTCTCTCGTGCCTCTCTCCTCCCTCTTCCAATCTCGCTCGCCTCTCTCCTCCCTCTCCCAATCTCGCTCGCCTCTCTCCTCCCTCTCCCAATCTCGCTTGCCATATATACAAATATATATGTATAATATACAATTATCTAACCGATATACATATACAATTCACCTTTCTCCACTCTTTGCCCCCTCTCTCTCGCCTCTCTCCTCCATATAACATGTAGCTACGAATTGTAATTATCAAATTATAGCTATGGAGAGTAATTAGACTATTTTTGAGTGGCTATATGTGAAAGTTCCCCTACAATTATATCTAGATAGATAACTACTATATCCAAGATAAAAAATTGATTAGGGAATACAAGTATAGTTGTATCCAACGTATTCATTTTTGTGTTTAACAACAATGTATTCATTGTATTCTATGTTGGTGTATTCATTTTTTGTTTAACAATTGATGTATCTATTGCCATGTAGTTCACCTATTCAAAATCGAAATACTTAACCTTCATTCACAAATTCAGCAATTTGCTTACATACAATAACTTGAATTAACAAAAAAAAATTATTAATACCTTTACAACGCCAGAATAAGAAATATGGAGATAACAAGAAAATTGAGTATGATGTATCACAATTTTTGTTAAACTGATAAAGAATATGACCTGATATATCTTTAAATAAGTAATTCTTAGTTATAAAGTTAATTATGGGAAGTTGCTCATTGTATGGACGTAATGTAAGGATAGTGGATTATATTTAGAGTCAATTCCTTATTTAGTTTGTTGTACTTAAAGATGTATTAATGTATAAATAAAAATAAAAATAAATGATACAAAAATACAGCAAAAAGGTGATATAAATTGTAGTCATTTATTGTAAATAACATACTTATAGCTATTGGTATTCATTAACCCTATAAATATAGTTATTTTTGTAAGTTGCTCTAATCTTTTTAGCAGTTTATAGAATGTATAGATACTTGTTTAAGGAATGTGGAGCTCGAAAAAAGGAGGAGGAATGTTGGAATGTGATACCAGAAGTATCGTTTCTAAGGGAAAGGATGAAATGAGCGGGAAAATAGTGAAATTAGGGATTTAATTCGTCTATGTGGCAGTGGGGTGTGTTTGGCGTGCACATGTGGCGTCCATGTGACATTTAACACACACATGGATACTTCCGTTAACTATAAGAGTAAGTGTGCCCCAATAGTTTGACGGGAAGGATATTTTTGAGCCGAAATATAGTTTAAGGGTATATTTAAGCTATTTCGAATAGTTTAAGGGTAGTTTTGACCCTTTTATCAATATATTACATACACATATAACTATTTTGTTGAAAAGATTTTTTGTTACTTGTATCAGCAACTAAAATAATTATCCGATAGGAAGGTGTATGAGTGTCAAAACTATTTTGAAAACAGATCGAACCAAACCGATTCTTAGATTTTTTTCCTGAAGAAACCATAGATTTTTATATAAACTTATAATTATACCGAATAATCAGACAGGTTTTATTTTATAAAAACATATGGTTCCTACCATATTTACTAATTCTCCATATAGTTACATATTGTCTCACTAATTAATAATTTCACATCAGATTTTCAAGTACATACACTCAAATACATGTATTTTTCTATTAGATACAATAAAATAAGGAGAGAGAAGAGAGATGAGAGAGATAGGACAGAGGGAAGCGAGAGAGTCAAATATTGTATTTAGAATAAATCAGACCTAATTTTGACTACATATATTCGAAATACATGTATATAGATGTATCTGGACGCACCAGATACATGTATCTGGGGTAAAAAATATGGTAAGTTTCGTAATATTGCGAACTAAATATTAGGATAACAATTAAATAACAATTATTTGAGGAAAATAGTAAATGTCAATTTTGTCTATTGTAAAATCTTTTAATGAAGGACAAAAAATTCAATCAACATATTTAAGGACCTTCATGTTCATTTATCTTTTTCTTATTATTCGTCCTCTCGTTGTTTTTGAAATAGAAATTATTTTTTTATCCTAACATAAAATGGATTAATCGAAAACATGAATTCTATTAGTTTTGAAGGATAAACAAAAGCTAATCTTAATCCCTTCATAATAAGCTTAATTTGAGACCAAACTAAGATGAAGGGTAAATTTATTTTACTTTTCATAATTGATGGACAAATTTGAATTAATCCACCAATAATAAAAATATGTTCGGAGTTCGGACCAGACAACTTTACAATATTTCTCATAGTTAAAAGACATTCTTGACCTTTTTCCATGAATCAATCATATATTAATGTCTAAAAATAGGTTATAACTTCTAAAAAAGGAAAGTAAAAAAACGAAGAGTAGAGAGAAAACAACGGTAGATAACCATTTCAACCACTAAAACATGTAACAAAATAAGGCAACAACATTAACAGAAATTCAAAAAAAAAAAACTTGCCATATTTTTTTTCACCCCAAAAACATGGCGATAATATTGGCCAAAACTACACAGAATTGAAAACTCTCACATTCATTTTTTTTCTTTCTTTCTTTTATCTTTTTAAGGTTTGGGGAAAAATTATCAAAGGGTCTAAAAATGAAAACAAAACATAAGTTAACACCCCTACCCTTTACCCTTACCCCTACCCCTACCCATATTATGGGCATTTTATTGATATGTTTCATTTTTTCTATCACAAATTCATTTGTCATTGCTCAAGATGATGCTGTACCTGCAAAATCATTTCCTGTATTCACTCCAGAAGATAATTTCCTCATTGATTGTGGTGCAACTTCATCGATCACGCTTCCGGGGAATAAAGTTTTTCAACCTGATCAAAATGCCGCAAAATATCTTTCTTATAGTGGTAAAGATGTACAAGCCTGTGCTTCTGAGAAAATCAACGTTCCTTCAACGTTATATGTAAACGCCAAAGTCTTCACAACTGAAGCTATTTACACGTTTCATGCCAGTACTTCAGGGTTGCATTGGATCAGACTACATTTCTTTCCATTTAAATACGAAGAATATGATCTTAAAACAGCTAAATTTTCTGTTAAAACGGATAATTTAGTCCTTCTACGTGATTTCCAAACTGGGAAAGATGAGGCTGTTGTCAAGGAGTTTGTTGTTAATGTTACATCAGAGCGTTTTGCTATTAAATTCGAGCCAGCTCAAGGATCTGTAGCATTCGTTAATGCTATTGAGTTTGTTACTGTACCTGCAAAAATGCTTGATTATTCTGTTCCTGTTTTATTCCCCGTGTCACAGAGATTTGATCTTTCTAAAACTAATTTCCAGACAATGTATAGGCTTAATGTTGGTGGTCCTGCTTTGGATTCAACGAACGATACTCTTGGAAGAAATTGGATGTCTGATAATCAATTTCGAAACAATGCTACAGGTGCAGAGGTATCAACACAAGCCTCTGCTATTAATTATTTGAAATCATCAGGAGGTTCTCCGTTGATCGCGCCACCAACAGTTTATAGTTCTGCTGTAAAGATGGCGGATTCAGAAACTACAATTGCTAATTTTAACATATCATGGACTATGGATATTGATACTATATATCCTCACTTGATTCGCCTACATTTCTGCGATATTATTAGCAAAGCTCTTAATGAACTCTATTTCAATGTGTATATCAATGACAAGATGGCTATTTCCGGGCTAGATTTGTCATCATTGACAAATCATTTGTCTACAGCTTTTTACAAGGATTTTGTTGTGGATTCCTCCATGGTGTCTAACCCCCTCGTTGTACGTGTTTCTCCTGTGAATGATGCTCAAGGTTTTAGAAATGCGATTCTAAATGGCCTTGAGGTGTTTCGAATGAATAACTCTGTTGGTAGCTTAGATGGGGAATATGGTGTTGATGGACAAAAACAAAGTGGTCCAAGTAAAACAGTGGCTTATGTTGGATTTGCGATGATGTTTGGAGCGTTTGTGGGGTTGGGTGCAATGGCGGTTAAATGGCAGAAGAGACCACAAGACTGGCAAAAGAGGAATAGTTTTTCGTCTTGGTTACTTCCAGTTCATGCTGGTGATTCAACATTCATGTCATCATCTTCGCGTAGCAAGAGCCAATTCTTCTCATCAAAAAACATGGGATTAGGTCAATACTTCAGTTTTGCTGAATTGTCAGACGCCACGAGAAACTGGGAACCTAGTGAAATAATTGGGGTTGGTGGCTTTGGAAATGTATATTATGGAGAACTTGATGATGGTACAAAAGTTGCTGTCAAGAGAGGAAATCCACAATCTGAACAAGGTATAAATGAATTCCAGACTGAAATACAAATGTTATCTAAGTTAAGGCATCGACATTTAGTGTCGTTGATTGGGTATTGTGATGAAAGTGCGGAGATGATATTGGTTTATGAGTTTATGCAAAATGGTCCATTGAGAGATCATCTCTATGGAAAGAACATGCCGCCTTTATCTTGGAAGCAACGATTAGATATCTGTATTGGTGCTGCTCGTGGGCTTCATTACCTCCACACTGGTGCATCTACAGGGATCATACATAGAGATGTCAAGACCACCAACATTTTGCTTGATGAGAATTTTGTCGCAAAGATGGCTGATTTTGGGCTATCTAAAGATGGACCGACAACAGAACAGACTCATGTGAGCACGGCTGTGAAGGGAAGTTTTGGCTACTTAGATCCTGAATACTTTAGGAAGCAACAGTTGACAGACAAATCTGATGTCTACTCATTTGGGGTTGTACTTCTTGAAGCGTTATGCGCTCGTCCTGCTATTAATCCATCATTACCAAGAGAGCAAGTGAATTTGGCAGAATGGGCAATGCAGTGGAAAAGGAAAGGGTTATTGGACAAGATAATTGATCCAACACTTGTAGGACATATTGATCCAGAGTCAATGAAGAAATTCGCGGAAGCAACAGAGAAGTGTTTGGCTGAATATGGTGTTGACAGACCTACTATGGGTGATGTTTTATGGAATTTGGAGTACGCGTTGCAGATGCAAGAAGCCTCGTTACAAGGAAAGACAGAGGATATCGATAACAAAGCAATTCTTGCACCAATTTCTCCTGCTACAGTTGCCCATGCTAATGTCACAACTGATAACAAACATATTTCTTCACCAGAACAACATAAAAATCCTACTGAAGTTCAAGCCATAGATGACAAGTCAGTGGCTTTTGCTCAATTTGAGCCTATCAATGGACGATAAAACGAACACTCAGCTTGTTCTATAGACAAATCAAGAATCTACAATTAAAGGTTATGAAATACGTGTGTATGTATATGTATGTAGTAAAATTCAGCTTTTTATAGATGCCATTTTGCTGAAAAATGTAATGTTTCACATAATATACTACTTTACTACATTGCTTTTCTTCTCTTAAATTTATAGGTATCTCTTGCATCCTTTAATTTCTCTCTTTTTGATGGATTAAAAAGCTCAATAAGATGATCTATCACATAGTACTTCTTAAGTATTTATATCATATCTTTATCAATCATTATTGTTAGTAATTTAGTAAGATTTTATACTTGAGAGTGAATATTTTGATTTTATTGTAGAAAATCAAATAGGTTTCATTCTTCTCAATGGCTTGAAGATGTTCGCCACTTTCTCTTTGATAGACTGATAATCTATATGTGATTATGGCCTTTGACATGAAATTTGACAATTGTTCAACTTAGTCTCTTTTCTGCATTTTAAAACAACAATTGAAACATGACATTATAATATAGTGGAAAATATATTATAAGAAAAAGACAAAACAAGAAAAAAAGAGGACATGTATAACGGAGAATCAAATGGATAAATAACAACTACAATATGATCTCCTTTAACAAATTTCACACAAAGGCACACAGTACTAGTGCAAGATTATATATAAGTTTAATGGGTTCAATTTAAGGTTGTTAGCATTTAATCCATAAAGACACACAGTACTCCACCTTACTTTTAATTGATACTGATGTTCATCCTCTTGTTGATGTTGCTGATTGTACTACATTTTCATGAAAAAAATTAGACCTTTACTGCAAAACACCATCATAAAGGCTGGAAGAAAATACAGAACACTTTTAGTAAATTTTGGCATCAAGGGTCCCTGGCCAGATTTGGCTTTGTTAAACCAAGAATCGTTATGGGCATTCATACATTTCCCGTATGCCATAGCCCATAAGCACTCTTTGCAAAGTAATTTATCAAATTAACCATTAGTCCGAAGAACCAGAAAAAAAATAGTGCAGCAACTAGCAACGATCTTCTCCACTAACACCTGCCGTATTTCTACATCAAGTATATGAGAAATCTAACAGAAAATCAATAAAAGGAAAACGTTATTCTTAAAGGTGTAGCCCACATAGGGAGGTGCAAGAAAATGATGTTTGTGGCAACCATCCTGCCAAGTCGGGATAGTTGGTGAAGCAAACTCTGCAGGAATCCTCCATTATAAACCCCTGCAAGAAACGGTTAGGGAAGTCAATATTACAAATGAAAGCAGTTTTTAATGGTCATATGCAGGAAATTGACAATAAGAGAGAAGTGAAGAAAGCTTGTTCAGTAGAAAATTAAGAGAACAGTGACAAAAGCTCACAACGGAAATACAAAGAATCACACAGAACTATATCAGCTGCCAGTCCGAATGAACAAACTTCAAGAACCAAGATACAAGAGCAGGAAACAAATTCATATCTCGAGCAATTATCCTGTTATACAGGCTTCCCATTGGAAGAAGAATTCAGACCTCAAAATTGATTTTTCTTTTTTTTGTTTGATCATGTAATGTCAGATTTCATTCAACATTCATAATAAGCATCTAAAGATGCAGCTGAGCACAAAAAGAGGAGTAAGATCCTGTAAATGCCTTGGCCTCCTAACTAAATGTCAAGGGAGCTGACAAAATGTAAATACATAAGGGAATTATTGACAACACTAAGATTACACCATGCAAAAAGGTTTAGCGAGCATCTGGACTTCAAAGTATAAAGTGGAGTTGTGTTTCCATCAAAACACCTCTGATTCTTCTCCTTCTAAATACTCCATATAATGCACTGTGGAATCAACCCTCCGTTTATTTCTGATGGATTTCCCAACTCTGTAGCTAACCCCATGACCAAAAAAATGACTCGAAATATAATTTTGCAATCAAATGTGTAGATTTCATCTCAAATGCAGTTCACTTGGGCAAGTGTAGAACAGTGGATGGAGTAGGCAACAAATACAAAGCTCCATATGCACACATCACAAAACTTGAGAGAAGGCAAAGCAAGCAACACCAAAGGGATTGCAAATCCTACTTCAAGTTTGAGATTAAGAACACCTACCCTTCTTATGAATGGGAACTTGGGAAGTAAAACCTTCACCCATTAAAAGCTTCACAATATTCCCTCTAAATCCTTGTGCATGTTCTATAAATTGCTATTTATTTTTAGAAACGTTAAAGCAGAAACTTTTCTACTGAATGTATCACTTTCAGCTGCTCTAACAATTTCTCCAGACTCAAATTTCACAATACTTTCATTCTCTACTAACAATTTTCCCAAACTTTCTCTGATAGATAATTACTTCAGGTCTTTTCCACATAGCAAGGGATCCAGATTCAACAGTCTCTCAAATAAAGATCGCACTACCTGGAGCATTATGTTTAGAAGGAATTTGCAGGATTGGGAATTTGATGACCTGGTCAAACTACAGTTTAAGTATTCTTGTGGAAGCAGACACAAAGTCATTTAACTTCCATGCAGATTAACTAAATTTCTAATAATAGCGACATAACAACTTATGTTATGTTTGTTGTATTAGCAACTTATGGAAAAGGACTTGAAGATGGTGGAAATGACTGGTTTTAATTATCACTAGTTGATTTCTTCAGAAGCAAAAATAGATTTCTCTTGATGAAACAGAGGAACAATTGATTTGCTGGATTAAGGAGTTAAGCATGTGAAGATGACACAAGGTAATTAGTAGTACAGAGGAGATCAGAATCTTCCTGTCATGATACAAATGGTAGAAATGATTCTGAGCATTGCCGAAGGAAATTCATTTGTGGCTGAGCAAAACCTATGATGCAAATTCCACATGTATCATCTTTCGGTAATGTGGTATATGCCTAATCAATTAAATGCAGAACTTCTCAATAATCTTCTTTGTTTCAGTTACCAAACAAATGTTTTACAATTTTAAATAGCCTTTCAGCTTAAAAAATACAATATTAGACAGAAAGTTAAGAAAATATCTCCCCACATTATATCAAACAGCCATTATATCTTTCTTGGCCTATGGGCTAAAGATCAAGTGTAGTTTCTATTATTATCCGTATAGGAGAACTGTTGTTACCGAGCAGGTGAATGAGTAAATATAGCCACTTCCTCTACTTCTATGATAATATCAATCAGACAACTCACACTGTGGCCTACCTCAGTCCTGAGAACCAGAAATGGCTAATGTTCACTAGAATCAGTTTGGTCATCAAGTGAAAGAACGTTGCTCTAAGTTAGAAAGACTGAACAAATAGACCACAGTGCTTGCATTTCACCATGTGCCTAATCCCTTCTTTTAAGTGAAATGCTAGCGAAATTCTTTACTTTGAAGCTATCATATCCAAATTTGGAATAAAAACACGGCAAAGACAATGGATTTTTCACATTAATCTAAACACTTGCATAGAAATCAATTAATCTAAACCCGTGGAACTTATCTATAATTCAACACTCATACAAGCGTACACGCTTTATAGTCAGCATATAGTTAGTAAATGTGGATACTTGAGTTCTTCCCTTTTTTACAGAGGTTAAAGTGCAAAGTATATTAACTTCTTAACTCTGTCTTATGAACTAAACAGAAAACAGTCAATTTCAGAAATAAATCCCCTTCAATCATCACTGTGGTAAAATGCACCAGATCACAAGGCACTTAGGACAGTTCAATGATTAAAAAACCAACATTGCTAACATTTAGATAGTGCCGTGCATTAAGATTTTAGTGGTCAACGCCTTTTATCCCCACCTTGTGTTACATTAGAAATGCACATGCCTGTTTAAATAGTGACTCAGAAATACCATGATAATTTCATTCACGTACAACAAATTGGAGATTGGTCCCTAATGAGTCAATCAACTTCTTTAGCAACTAACATCAGTTATAACTTTCACCCATCTTAAAGAAGCAAAACTGAACGTGGACGGAAGGTAGAGCAACCTACATCCTCACACTAAGACACCCATATGCAACCAACCACCCAAAGTAATTGAAGCTTATTGCCAAGCCAACTTCTTTACAGTAAGATAAATGTAAGTTTTCTACACATCATCGCAGAAACTAGTCCACTTAAGTTCTCAATTTTCTATTTTTTTTCTTTATGTTTCCGTGTTGAGGGAAGTAACTATATGTGCTAATTCTAGTCATTATCAATAATTAGTTCATGCCAATTAACATATGATTAATATATATTAAAAAAAAACAGCTTGCTATGTTCCCCACACAAACCATTGAGAGCAGTAGAGATCTTCCCTACACTACCATCCAATCTCATTGAGGGATAGAACTTCTTTGTGAATTCTAATCAAAATTACCAATCAATTCATATCATCTAACTTGTGTTTATCATTAAAGTATCATGTATAAAATCCACTACATTGCTAGTCTCCCCATTACCATTTGCTTACTTTAGCAACATCATAACCAACACCACACCTCAATCACAAATTAGTTGGTTCGGCTATATCCTATATGATCCTCTATATCCATCTTTCATTCCACCTCTGCTACTTTTAGATTGAAACTCATCATATAACAATCACGCGTTCAATAGAATATGAATCCCACATAGATCGAATAATTAACAAGTTACTCTTTTTTTGTTTACCTAACTTTTTTGATAAGGATGGATTTGAGCTTCCGAGCGAGTTCTTGAGAACGGATTTTACGTTCAAGGATCTTACGAGCCAATACACGCTTCTCCGAGTTCTTGATGTGGTGCAGCTGTTCGCGCTTAATCAGCCGTTCTATTCCGCTAGACTGCATTTTCCTCTGCATCAAAAACAGTGCTTGGTCTAGGTTGTTGTTCCTCACCTTCACTCTTATGCCTCGCCATTGTTGCAGCTCCCAATTTAGTGGATTTAGGGCTACGTTCGGTCGATTGAAGATGGTCGAGACTTGCTTCATCACTGAGCTAATCATTTCTAGGGTTTCTCGATTTTGCTCTAAAATTGGGGCTTGTTTGTTTTGTTGGGAGAATTATGCAGTTTGTATTAGTTTTTCTATCTTAGGTTGATTTAACCCATTATATTACCTGGTTAATTTTCTAGAATTTAAAAATAAATCTTTTCAAAGATCAAAAATAGTTTTAAAATTATTTTGGTGTTATTTTGCTATTTTATTTGACGAAACATTTTAATACACTTTCTTACGTATTGTTTTAACTTTTAAGTATAGTATATTAGTAGTATAATTAATCATATATTATCTATTTGAAAATTAATCGAGCACATGTTTTGAATTACCAATTTAAGGTCATTTACTTTTTAATTATTATAATTAGTCTATTTTTGTAAATAAATATTCTATTTTGTTAAAATCAAAAAGCTTAGATAATTAATTGATTAAGCAATTAATTTTAATTCAAGCTAACTTATCTCTAAATATTCCAAAATCTACAGAAATCTTACAAACATAGCACTTAACCATGGTATGTCAGTCGACAGCCAGCCACCACCAACGACGGCTAATAATGTAGCAATCATCAACACATTTACTAACTTACAAACGCATGATTCAATAGATATTAAATCTATTACATACTTGCACGGAGAACCGTCAAACACATGAACAATAAAGGAATTTACTCATTTGTGTGTAAGACAAAATCTTTAATATTTAGTGATTTCAAAATTCTCATATGGAAGGTTGAATTTGCGCGAAGTGGTGATAAAAAAGTCTTGTAATATAGGTTTTTATTTTTTGGAAGAGAAGCTCATATTAATAAGATTAACTTTATTGAAGGATTATGATCAAGAGTAAAAATGTGATACTTGGTGAGAAAACTGAAAAGGATAGAATAATGAGATATGTAGAGGTAGTCAGTATATTACCACTACTCAAATGATGAGTGGCTCATATCCAATGTGTGCCTACGGACGAACGGTTGTGTGAATGATGAATGACTCAAGTCCGTTATGAGCCTATAGACGAGTGTTTCAATTAAATCGGGTATATATTATATCGGTAAGGTACATAGACGCCTAGGGTCCGTTGCAGGTGATGACTAGATGGAAAAACATAAAATCCATTAGCATGTGTGTACAAATGAGAGTGAGACTACTGATTTTAAGTGGTATGTAATTGATTCCTATCAAGTGTAGAAATTATGAATTTGCATGATCATGATAGATATGATTGTCTTTTGATGATTTGATTGTATACCTTGAATGAGTGTTTGCTTTCTTAAATTATCTGGCTACTTCTTAACTTGACATGTGATAATGTATTGATATATTTGATTGGTTATAGTGACAGGTGACCAGATATTACTTATGTTCTAATTATGTATTATGAGTAGATTAAACTTAATTTTGTAATTTCTACAGAATAATTGTTGCATGTGTGAAAATTGATGTTTTAAGGCGGGTTTACGAATGTGGTAAAATGTGGTTATCTTAAGGGAAAATACATAAAAATCCCCCTGAACTTGACACGAAAACTTATTTTATTACTTAAACTTTACGGGTAATTATTTACCCCCCTTAACATATTTGAAGTGAATTAATATCACCCTAAAAATATAATACCAGTCTCAAGTAGGCAAGTGTATTACACAGGCGCCACGTCATTGACACATTAGAACCACATAAGCACCATGTCATAGCCACATTGGAAATTCTCTAAAATTTGATTTTTGATTTTTTAAATTCATTTCTTTCTTTCCTTTTCAGAATATTTAAATACTAGTTAATCTTTAGTTCTTAATTAGTTTAAGAAATATTGAAATCATTAGCAGTGATTTTTTTTTTCAATACTCAATGTCATTTACTGCCATGTCGATTGTCGGTGTTCTTCAATTTTTTTAATTTCTATATACTAATCAAGGTCTAATTCTTAACTAATTCAAGAAAAAACACATTTATTTGTAGTGCTTTTTTAAAAAAAAAAAAAAAAAAACTTTCTCTACCCATTGCTTCAATCGCCATTGCCAACCATTAACATTATAGATTGGTTGACAAAACCTCATCTTCTTTTATGCCCAAGTCTTTATTTTACAAAAAAAATTCATAACTTTTTAAGAAAAATCAAATCTCCAAAGTAAAGAGTAAAAAAAATTATGTGGATCTTGAATGTGATTCTTTTTGTTTATGTGTTTAACGAGAATATGTACTTTGAATGTAGAGTTTGAAGAAGGAGAAAGAGGATTGGGTGAGGTGGGGATAGGGTGGTGGGGAGTTTGAAGAAGAAAAGACAAGCAGGTAGATGGGGTAGGTGGAATTTTGAGAAAGCGGGGTGGGGGGTTTGAAGAAGAAGAAGAAGAATGGGGTGGTGGTTTTTTTTTTCATTATATATATAAAGTGGGACCATTACATTTTTTAAAAAATAACTTAACGTGCTTTCAAAAAAATTTCTTTTCTTTTTTTGCCACGTCATCCGTTAGGATGGTATTAAATTCACGTGAAATGAGATAAGGGGGGTAAATAATCACCCGTAAAGTTTAAGTACTAAAGTAAGTTTTCGTGCCAAGTTCAGGGTTTTTTTTATGTAATTACCCGTATCTTAATAATGTAGTTATTTATGTTGACTTTGTAAAGTTCTACGTTGTATTAATCTGGACCGACATATCATGCCTACTTAGTACATGTGGTGTACCGAGACTACATACACCTTTGTTGGTGTAGGTTGTTTGAAGTGTAGGAATTTAGAGACTAATACTAATTATCATCAACTTCCATTTACTTCATCCTCAAGTGAAAGTTGTGTCGATCTTTTGTGTCATTTATCTTGTTCTTCTGTCCTTACTCTGTTAAGAACTCGTGTACCTGTTTAGACTAGGTTCTGAAAGTTGTTTACTTTGTCAAGACTTTTGAAAAATGAGTTTCTTATTGATTTATTTGTTTTTCATTTTTATTTATGAAAATGTTATTTAATTATTTTCTATAGGGAAAGATGGTAAGGGTTCACCTTTCTAGTTAGATTAGAGTAGGTGTCCGTACGGCTCCGTAATTTGGATCGTCACACGTGATTGTATCTCCTAGGTCTAGTCTTCATAGAGGATCCATGATATAAATTGGCAATTCATTGATTGGACCGTAGTCTTGAAAGCCACTTTGCAAGTTGCGGATCTTTGATTTACCATAGACAAGATGGTCCGCGGGCTAATTCCATGGTCCGTCAAACCACGAGTCCAACATCAAAACGGACACTTTTTGAACCCTAAACACCAAAAAGGACCCTCTCTAAAACACACCAAAACGGACAGTTCGTCCATTTATGGGCGAACTACAACTACCATTTTTTAATACTGTAGTCCATGTTAACTCCAAATTCATCCAAACTAATATTACACAAATCTTAAAGGGTTCGCCCACAAATTGGCGAACTACAATTCCTTTTTTAACTCCTCATCTAAATATATATCTCTTGCTCAATCATAAGAGTATTGTAAAATCTTTTTGATATATAAAATCATGACTTTTTTCAATAATGAAAGTATAAAAAAAATTGAGAATTTTTTTATAAAATTAATTTCAATATTTATTTGCTTACAACAATTATAATAAACTACTAAGGTCGACGGGGACAACGATTCCTCTTATAAACAATTTTCCAACATAAAACTACATCATTGTGCCATGCAACCTGGAGCAATGTCCATTTCATTTCTACGACGCTCAGTAATGTTGACTCCAAAAGTTCTCAAACATGCTTATTTTGTTATTCTTCGGGAAAAGGGTTCGTAATATATCTGAACTTTGACCGAAATTATTGTAATAATACCAAACTTTGAGCATGACATATTACCCCCCCCCCCCCCCACCCACCCCTGCACTATTTTATGATGTATTTTAAAGGTATATATGTGCCCACATGGACAAGTTACTATTTATAATGATGCAATATTTATGATGTCCACGTGGGCACATATATACCTTTAAAATACACTATTAAATAGTACATGGGGGTAAAAGGTCCTTCCCAAAATTTGGAATTATTACAGCAATTTCGATCAAAGTTCAAATATATTTCAGACTTTTTTCCCCTTGTCTTCTAATTCTTTTAGCAATAACCTTAGAAGATTCTCTATCTTCTACAAATTTCATATTGATGTGTGAAGTCGTTGGATCATCGTCGAAAGAGGGTTTCCTCACCCCTAAAAGAATGGTGTTAGTTTCATTTATGGGCATGTTTTATGTCCATAAAAAATAATCGTTGTAGACGATAAAATTTGAGTGGAGAAAATAATAATCAAGAACGGAGAAGTATCACAACAATCATATTTATTGATTTCAAAGTGCGAGTGTTACAATCTCTATGATTCATCTGAATTCGTCTTTTCAGATATAGATTTAAGGGCTCTTGAGCTTGATCTTGAATTTGTCTTGAACTTGATCTTGGATTCAAGGGCTTTGAAGCTTGTTCTTGAATATTCGACGGACTTGAATTTGAACTTTATCTTGATCTTGACTTTTATCTGAATTCAAGGGCTTCAAGCTTGTTCTTGAATCTGGTGGTCTTGATCTTGATTGTTCTCGAACTTGAATTCTTTAACTAGTAGTTTATAGAGAAATCTATGACGTTTGATCCACAAGCTTTCTCTAACTTCTTGTTTAGAATTTCCGGTCCCTTTTCTGAATTACGAGGACCATAATTTATAGTTTTAGAATGAGGAGTTGTGATAGGAACAGGTTTCCTTCAGACAATCAGGTTTAAGTGACATGACATATGAGTTTTATGGAACGGGTTTGTCATTTTGACACATGTCATGATCCTTTTGACTTGGCATGGCACATCATTTGCCATGTGACACCAAATTGGGCCTCTAGGATGAGATGACAGTGTGCTTAGCAAACTGGGCTCATCTATTATAGCCCAAATCAATTAATCTAAACTTTAATTAAATCTATATTTATTGAACTTAAATAATTAAACAAATTATATTAATTCGTAATTTATTTGGACTAATATATTCATAAATTTAATATAATTCGAATTATTTTATAAATTTATATTTAATATATTGTAAATGATTGCAATCGCATTCATCATTTTTTTGAAATAACAAAACAAAACATCAAGTGAATATCCAAATATTTTGAAGTGAACAACATAACTATTTTACCTTTGAATGTGCACAACTTAAAACTTACGATCGAAATTTCTTGGAGTCCTTGGTGTTTTCATTTTACAATACTTTTTGCATTTACGAACATCTGGTTCAACTGAATATACAAACATCAAAATCAAAATATAAAGTATGAAAAAATAGAAGATGAATGAGAAAATGTGGAATGAATAACCCATATTAATTATTGAAGAAAGAGATTTACCTTCACGTGAAGAAGAAAGAGATATATATATATATATATATATATATATATATATATATTCATATGAGTAGGCTTAATAAAAAGAATTATAGTTTGCCCATTTGTGGGTGAACTACCTTTAAGATTTGTGTAGTATTGGTTTGGATGAACTTGGAGTTAATGGAGACTACGACGTACGTTAAAAGCTGGTAGTTGTAGATCGCCCATAAATGGGCAAACTATCCATTTTGGTGTGTGTTTTAGAGAAGGTCCCTTTTGATGTTAAAGTTCAAAAAGTGTCCGTTTTAATACTGAACTTTCAAACCACCCGTAGACGGTTTTTTCATATTAATAAACTCTTTTTAAATATATTTCCTCCTCAGTGCACATAAATATGTAGTGTAATTAATTTTTCAGGCACATCAATTATAATTTATGTGATCAGCTGTTTTACACTTTAAGCAGTACGTAGTGCTGTTTGCAAATAATAAGCCTTTGTCCCTTGTCTTTGTCTTCTCATTATTTTCTTTTTACTGCTATCAACAGTCGAAGTAATTATATCTTGAACAAAAAATAATATCCTTTCTTTTGCCTTCTTGTTACGATAAAAGGTAACATTATTGCAGTCATAGTTAGTAGGTTTCTATTAAGTAGTACACTTCTTATTGACGGAGTCAGGAATTTGAAAAAGGGATGTAAAATTAAATATACGTGTACTCATAATAGTTACTAATATTTAATTTTTGTAAATCACATAATTTTTCAACAAAAATATGCATCGGACCAGGACGAAGTGTATGCAGGAGGGGTCACCGGGTTCACATGAACCCATGCTCCCTTTCCGAAATCATATATAGTAGTGTTGTATTTAAAAAAAATATATATTTAAATATAGATGTGTGAACCACACTCAAAGTATCATATAATTATACAATGATGACTGAGTACGTCTTGCTAAGTGAGGTGAAATTTGAATCTTCTATCTATCTTATTTTATTTTTCTTTCTAAAATTGGGTAACACATCTCTAAGTGGTTATTGGTAGCACTTTATATATATAACTTTAATCTTTCAAAATTTTCAAGTTTGTCACATTGGAAATTTCTAATTTTTTTAGCACTGCAATTTTTTTATATAATTAAACTAAATGTGTATACTATAAGTAGTAGTATTGAATAATATAACATACAATCAATGGGTTCAGATCTCCATACCTTTGGTACGAAATATATATATATATATATATATATATACCATTTGAATAGATATAAGAATCAATTTTGAACCTATAATTTTAACGATTTTTAGTAATAAGAACCTAAATTTTAAACTGATCAAATTTATATCTTAGATCCACATTTTCATAATAATGCACCTATCATCTCAAAATCTTGGATAAGCCAGGACCATCCTTCGCCTAAAATAGCTCCAGTTATGTATATGGCTTAATGATGAATACCAAAGACAAGTTTCACTAAATCCAATAACTTTTACTTAATTAAACTTCATTTTTATGTTAAAAATCATTAAAATCTAATAGGTAAAAGGAGCTATAAGTTTGATGATAAAATCAAAATTCTTAAATTTCAATTTCTGATTCCATCATCTAATAAGTAAATCTAGCTATAAGTTTGATAATAAATTCAAAATTCATAAACTTCAAATTCCGACTTGATAGAAGATCTAATAACTTTAACTTAATTAAACTTCATTTTTATATTACAAAAATCATTAAAATCTAATAAGTAAAAGGAGCTATAAGTTTGATAATAAATTCACAATACATAAATTTCAAATTCTAATTCCATCATCTAATAAGTAAAACGAGTTATAAGTTTGATAATAAATTCAAAATTCATAAACTTCAAAATCTAATGAATGATTAGAAAGGAACATCCACATGATATGTAGTATGTGTCCTTTCCAAAAAAAATAAATCCCTTTTTCTTTTTGGTGCCAAGAAAATAAAATTGGGAGTAGATGAAAAAGTACATTTCTAACTGATAAAGAAGAAAAGATTCATCCAACATATAGTACTATTATCTTGAGCCATGAAAAAACTCTCTTTGGAATAGAAGAAAGTCATGAAAGTTAGGTAGCTCCCAATAGTATTAGTGAAATGAAAGTTAGAATAAGTGGAAAAGATGATGATGAGAGAAGATGAGGGAATTGTTATATCATCATCAAATAACAAGAGATGTGAAGACTGTGGAAATCAAGCAAAGAAAGATTGTTTGTATTTTAGATGCAGAACTTGTTGTAAAACTCAAGGGTATCAATGTCAAACTCATGTTAAGAGCACTTGGATCCCCATCTCTACGAGGCGTCCAAGGCATCATCATCAGATTTCAACTGTTCAACAACCAAACCCTAAAAGACATAGAGAAAATCACGCGCTATTACAAACAGGTACTTATAATTCATACATTCATATATGTCTTCACGAATACTAGTACCATCAAACCCTAGCTAGCTAGTACAATTTATTGCTATACCTAACTAGCCAGGGAGTTTAGATGGATGAAAATTATATTATTTATATATGATTAAAATTATTTTTTTAATGTGTGCATAGATGTTAAACTCTCTTCTCTTCTCGACTGATTTGTGTGTTTACTTCTTCATATATTTTAAACCATTTAATAAAAAATCTTGTATTTGTCATATATTGTAGCTAGACATACTATTCTTACTTATTTCTTGAATCATCTTATATGATCCAACTTTAGATCGATGGATGAGTAGAGTCACACTACTTGCACATTAATTACATTCAAGTGGTAATTACAATTTATGACAAATACTGGTGAAAAAAAATTAAAGCCAAATTTTTACTAGCTATATAATTAACTTCTATATACACATTTGGGGAGTTAAAGAATTTTGTGCACTGTCAAATTATTTAAAAAATAATTATATGTAATTGTTTATCAAAAATGAGATTAGTAACTTCACACGATAATAAGTACACTAAAAAGTGTGTCCTTCTTGATCATCTTTTACTAGAGAAATGGAAAATACATGTTATAGTAAATATAAAGTGGAATTAATTAGAACCCAATTTTCAAATGATCAAATTCAAACTTGAAAAGATCTCATTCTTGAAGAATAAGGGATAAAAGGATTGATGAAAAACTAAGATACACTATGTGCTACGATAACTTGAAAATTTGAGTTTTTGAAGTTTGAACACGCATTTTTGGAAAAAAGAAATTGAGGCTTTATGATTCGAAGTGAAATTTCTCATCAAATATGGGTTGAGCTAGTTTTTAGACTTTTCAAAAGTATATCAAATTTCATGACTAAACAGATATTTAAAGATAAATTTTAAAAATCTGATTCAAAAGGCCAAACACTAGTTTAATAGTGTAAAAGTTGATCAATGTATATTTATTTTTGAAACACTATTTACAATTACATTTAGGTGGAGAAGAAGAAGAAGAACTTCCATCAGAAGTAAGTTTACCGGCGATTTTTCGTTGTGTTCGAGTAAGTTCAGTAGATAATGTGGTTGATCAATATGCCTATCAGACATCAGTGAAGATAGCAGGACATGTTTTTAAAGGGATATTATATGATCAAGGCAACAACAATATGCCTAACCAAACTTCCTCAAGAGGCTTTCACCACCAACAACAACTTGCAAATTTCACACCACCAATATCTACTACTTACCCTACTTTCATGCCTGGTATGCAATTATTCCAATACCCAAAGTCATCTTAAAACAAGGATATTTGCTTGTCTCTGTTCGAATTCTTCAAAAATGTTGTCGGATATGTTTGGACTCTATAAAAGTTGTTCATTTTGAAGGATTGAGCAATATGTATATTGCTAGCTATAGATCATTAGATTTTATACCTCTAGCTATATTTTTATGTGCATTCCAAGTGTACAGAATAATAAAGTGTCCATATTAAAGACGTTTACTGTCTGTTTTTGATTCAACACACTTTTAGTGTAGTGTTCCAATAGATCTTGTAACTTTCTCTTGAACAGTAGTATTACTATTTGATTAGATCTGTGTTTAATGTGTTTTTTCGTGTAGAATATATAGAGATTCTACAAGTTTGATATAGAATATACATTTTCTTTCTCTGATTAGAGGATGTCCAGAGAGAGGACTAAGATACAAATATTGTGCTTGCAAGTAAGCTTCAATCAAGCTTGAGGAGAAAAAGGGCTATTTACCCCAAAGCAAAATAATACACATTGAACAAGAAGGGAAAGGAAGGGAAAAATAAACATAATGAGATACACTAGTGTGTGTGTATATATATATATATATATATGTATATATATATATTGAGAAGAGAAAGGGGAATAGTTGTATTTTTTGGAATTCTAATGAAGAATTATTTGTCTTTGGTATGAAAAATTAATTAATATGATATGTCTCTACAAGTTTGTCTTTTTCATGAATTTCTCTCTTGCGGCCACATTGCGTTTATAGGGAATTCCCTTAATTTATTATGTCAAATTTATTGGTTATTTATCAACTCCAAAGCCACTTTTCTCCTCATTATCCGTTTCTTTGCCGGCTAAAGGTTGGCAACATCTAAATTATATACAATATAGTTTTTCTATAAACACCATCGATATAATTTTATTCTAAGTTGCTTGAATCTTCATTTTCAATGTCGCACTCGTATCAATACAATATGATGTATGGTTGTAGTTGTGGATGTGAGTACGTATGAGATTTATATCAGATTTAATCAATCAATTTTGAGTACTTTGACCAAAATCAACGGAGGAATTTGGAGCAAATACCTAAAACAAAAGGCTATATCAGTGAAACTGAAGAAAATTGAGCTGACAAGGGGGCTATTTCTTCTTCTTGTATTCTCTTCTTGATCAATATTTTCTCCTCGAAATATCTTATAAGTTTTTCACATAATGCCTCATAATTTAGCCATATAGCTCTATTTTTATATATTTAAATCAAATTTCACTGATTTTTATATCAATATCTTAAAATTTAGATTATGAAGAATCCAACTTTTAAATCCATACTCGTATCAGATGTCCGCATCAAATTCGAACAACTTAGATTTATCAACTATAATAGGTCAATTACTTTGTTTAGGTACGTAATTACTAATGCATAATATTCGATGTAAAATAATCTAGAGCTTTTGAGTGACTTGATGGGGTAAAACCTTTTTACCCTAGCAGTTTATTATGTCAAACCCAATGCTATGTGTCCATATGAATGGACATTACACTACCATAAAAGAGACAGTTTTAGTAATAATAGATTTTTTGTTGTAATACTTATTGTCGTAAAGATATTTAATAGTAATAAAGTTAATATTATTGTATTTAAAGCATCATTTATATAAAATGTTTATTATAAATATTTATATTTATTATTATCATGCACTAAATTTAATGTACCAACAATTATATTATTGCCGCTATTTTTTTTATTTTTTATTTTTATGTTAGAGGATAACTCTTGGACCATATTTTAATTGTATTAATGTATGCTACTGAAAAAGCTAACGTGTAATATTAAGCTTCATTAAATTGGGAATTCACAGACATGCAAGAAAATGTAGGCAGTACTCATGAGTACTTATCACTACACTTGTCCCCTTCTTGTATGCATAAAGTTCAACATAATTCTGATAAATTTTTCCAAATTCACACTCTTTTATATTTAAAAAAATGTGTACAGAGTTTACAGAAGGAAAAACGATTAAAAAAGATGGTTATATTAGGGGTGTACAAAATCGAATCGAAAATCAAATCAAATCGTAAATTGAGAAAAAAATTCTGATTAGTGGTTGGTTTGATTTGGTTTGATATTGAAAAAAAACCCAACTATATTTGGATTGGTTTGGTTTTAAATAAAAAAAAACCGACCCGAGACCAAATCAACCCGACATTATATATATAATTTTAAAATTTTATTTTATACATAAAAATATTTACTTTGATATAATTTTAAATATTTCTTATACTTTTTCATAGTTTTTATCTTTTAATATATTATTTCAAGTTTGAAACTTAGAATTCTGAATGGTTCAATAAAGATTATCGTCCACAGATGTTGGTAATTATAATAAAGCTTAAATCAAAATCAAATTTATACTAATGCAAAAAGAAAACCAATTCAACACTAAGAATGACAATAATATTGAATATTTGTTCTATGGTTTTACATTGGTTTAGACAATTCAAATACATAATCTAATTTTAATTTCCTTTAATATTTAGTCATGTAACTAATACTTATTAAACTTATTTTAGCATGATTTAGTACTTTTAAATTATGATCATTTTCATTATGACTTGTTAATTTGCAATATTTGTTTTACGAGATTTCATTATTATTATTATTATTATTATTATTATTATTATTATTTGTATTGGATATTTTAGTGTCATTACTCATATCATATTTTGTGTTATTTTCTTAAAAAACACCTTAGATAGTTGTATTTTGGTAGGACTAAAGAAATATTTGAAATACAAGTAAATTATATGTTATATGAATACTTTACCGGAAAAAACCCGAAAATCCAAAAATATCCGAGATTGAAAAATCTGAGTTTTATTGGTTTGATTTGGTTTATAGATTGAAAAATCCAACACAAATGATTTGATTTGATATTTGAAAAATCCTAACCAACCCGATCATATACACCCCTAGGCTATATTGTACATGTGTTAAAAGTATTTTTATTTTCTCATTGTTAAATAATTGAGTAGGTATAGTAATATTGTCCTTTTTCAACTTTTAATGCATGTGACTATCTTATAAGTTAGGGTTCATTAAGCTGTTACTTTCTTAAGCACCTCCATGATGTAGGTCCTTTTATCTTGCATCTCATGAATTTTATTAGATCATTTTGTTTGCCCTATGCATATTGAGGATGAATTTTCCTATTTTTAGTAGTTATAATGAGTTAAATCCAAACAAAACAACTCCTAATTCATAAAATTACATTTTTTAAATGATTGTGGTGTCCCGATCAGTATTTGTGCACCTCAACTAATTTCAACTCTCACCAGTAACAGACAACAAATGATACCAAATAACTCCATTCACCAAGGCTAGGACAGATGAAAATTAAGAATCTCCAAGTGTTTTTTTGTCTCTGTGGAGTTTTGAACTTGAGACATCATGGTTCTCAATCACTTCTTTAGCAACTGAAATTATATTGAGATATAACTTATGAGATATTATGATACAAAAATATAAATTTATGTCACGTTAAAAAATAATTTCTATGTATTATAAGTAAATAAATTAAAGACCAACACAAAATATAGATAAAAGTTTAAATAACCCCTCCTATATATATATTCACCGTTTTTCTAGATAACTAATTTCACTTATATTATGAATATAACTGTTTATAATAATATAAATTAAAAAGTACACATGTCTATACAAACACACACATATATAGACGCTCTGATTTAGAAAACCTTAGCTAATAAGCAATTGACTAGTGGGTATTGATGGATATACATGTAAAAGGAATAATCTATGATTAATATAATGAAGAAAGAAAATAATTGATCCTCAAATGAATAGTAATTAAATGGAAAAGATTATTGTGTGGGCATCTATTGATTTTGTAGATGATATAATAATATTGCACAACTAGAAGCCGAAAAGCAGATAGGATTGCACATGTGACATGTCATAATAACCTTTTATGATAAAGACACATTCACGCTAACCAAATAAAAAAAGATAGATACCCCCAATCAATTGGAATATATCCTTTCCTTACTACTAGACAAGGCAAGAATCTTTTAATAGCACGATTTGTTTTTTAAAAAGATTGATCTTTAATTTGGCGAAATGACTTAAGAGGCTTTTGTACTTGACTCGATTTGTAAGTTGGATTCATGTACTTATATGATTTTGCCAACTAAATTCTTAAACTCATTCAAACACAATATTTTAGATCCATTTCTCATCTGATGGGTGTCATGTGTGTGTAGTACACTCATTTTACACATGAAATACCATGTCATTTTTTAATGACACATCATTATTATTATTATTATTTTAATGACATATCAGAAATTAAATATTTAAAAATAAATAATATTTTTAAAAAATACAATTTTCTCTCTCTCTCTGTACCATTTCACTCCCTTCCCACTTTATCTTCTTTGTTCCCACCTTCTACCATTTTCATCTTTCTTCATAGTTCACACTCAAAAATTTCTTCAATCACGAAATGTGATAGATTATAATTAGTTCTTGTACATGCTTTATGATTTTATTTATTTTGATTTGATAAAAAGAGATATCAAGAAAACTTCAAATTGAAAAATATATATTTATATGTAAATTCAAGTAGTAGATCTCAAGAATTAAGTTTATAAAAATGGTGAATGGTATATTTTCTTGCAAAAAAAACTTTTTTTACTTTTTTATTTGATGATTTTATTGTGATAATGTGTACGTCAAAGAAGAAGAAGTAGAAAAAAGGAGTACGGGCGGGGGTGGGTCGTGGGGTGGATGTGGGCTGAGGTTGAAGAAGAAGAAGAGGAGAAAATGAGTAGGGGCGGGGGAGGATGGGGGGTGGGGGTTGAGGTTGAAGAAGAAGAGAAAAAGGATGGGGTGGGGTGAGGCTGAAGAAAAAGATAGACGGGTGGGGGGTGGGGCGAGGTGGCGTGTAGTGAAGAAGGAGTTTTTTTAGTATTATATTTAAAAAATATTATTATTATTGTTTTGTCTTATAATGTTTGAT